GGCCTCACAGAACTCTCGAACTTTGGCGAACCGACAACGGGAATCAAGCGCTGAACGATCTCAACGTTTGGCCTCACAGAATTCTCGAACTTTGGCGAACCGACAACGGGAATCAAGCGCTGTACATTCTCAACGTTTGGCCTCACAGAATTCTCGAACTTTGGCGAACCGACAACGGGAATCAAGCGCTGAACGATCTCAACGTTTGGCCTCACAGAATTCTCGAACTTTGGCGAACCGACAACGGGAATCAAGCGCTGAACGTTCTCAACGTTTGGCCTCACAGAATTCTCGAACTTTGGCAAACCGCGAACGGGAATCAAGGGCTGAACGTTCCCATCGATTAGCACAGCAAAATGCACGATCAGCAAGGAATAGAACTCGCAGGCAACATAGTTTATTGAATTCTGCGTTTGCTTATGATTGTACCTTTGACTATGCTGAGCTAAATGATATTGATATTGGCAGAATGGATAAAATATGCAACTTATGCCAAGCAATAAAATGGGCGGCTGAAGCTCCTGGAATATGTTGTAGTGGTGGCAAAGTAAATATACCTAAAATTCCGGCACCAACATCAGTTTTTAAAGAACTGATATCAGGCTCACATCCATCCTCAAAGCATTTCTTAAATCACTCAAGACAATATAATACACTTTTTCAGATGACTTCATTTGGTGCCAAAGAAATTCGTGAGGGAAACTTCATGCCGACTTTTAAAGTCCAGGGGCAAGTTTATCATTTGATCGGTAATTTACTTCCAGCTGAAGGTGCACAACCCGAATTTTTGCAAATATATTTTGTTTCTCATGCAGATCAGGTATCCTTGCGCTCAAATTTAAATCCAACCTTGCAAATCTACCTTATCGACGCTCTCCAAACATATCTTAACGATCATAATATGTATATTCAAAGTTTTAAATACAATCTCGAAAATAGACCAACGAATGATTTTAAACTTATTATTCATGCTGATGTGAAACCTCCTAACGAGCATCGAGGTCGGTATAATGCGCCAATAGTAGATGAAGTAGCTGTTCTTTTGATAGATGAAGACAAAGGTCCCCGAGATATTGTGTTGAATGCGAGAGATGGTAGACTTCAACGAGTTTCTGAAATTCATAGATCTTATGACCCACTTCAATATCCTTTACTGTTTCCCTTTGGAAATGACGGATACTGTATAAATATTCCACAACAGAATACTGCTGTTAGATCTAAAACTGTATCATGTATGCAGTTTTATGCATTTAGATTCATGGTGAGAATAAATGACTTTAACAGCATACATTATTTCAAAGGATTATTCAACCAATATTGTGTTGATATGGCGGCAAAAATGATTTCTGAGAGGCTTGACTTCATCAAAAGAAATAAAAAAAAATTGAGAGCAGAAGAGTACATTCATTTAAGAGATGCCGTGGTTAATGATGGCAATATAGACGGTTCTAATATTGGCCAGCACGTTATATTGCCGTCGTCATTTACAGGATCCCCCAGATACATGAATGAAAAAAGTCAAGATGCCATGACATACGTCAGGAAGTTTGGAAGACCAGATCTCTTTATTACATTCACATGTAACTCCGAATGGCCAGAAATAAAAATTGAGTTATTACCCGATCAAAATTCTTACGACAGACATGATTTAGTTTCTAGAGTATTTCATTTAAAACTCAAGAAAATGATAGACCTATTAACGAAGAAAAATATCTTTGGACCATCGAAAGCCTTCGTTTACAGCGTAGAATGGCAAAAAAGAGGTTTACCTCACGCCCACATTTTATTGTGGCTGGCTAACAAAGTACAACCAGATTCTATAGATGCAATAATATCGGCTGAAATACCTGACCAACAACAAGATCCAATTCTTCATAATATTGTCATAAAAAATATGATACATGGTCCTTGCGGATTTCACAATCCTGCGTCACCATGTATGAAAGAAAACATTTGTTCTAAAAAGTACCCTAGGCATTTTATTTCTGAAACACAAACTGGGGATGACGGTTACCCAACCTACAGGCGCAGGTCTCTAGATAATGGTGGAAAAACAGCAACAATTCGTGTCAAAGGTACAGAAATGAGCATGGATAACAGGTGGGTTGTTCCCTATAATCCAGTGCTATCACGAAGTTTCAATGCACACATTAACGTAGAGTTTTGTCAATCGGTCAAAGCTATTAAGTACATCTGTAAGTATATTCATAAAGGTTCTGATCAAGCCACATTTTCGTTGCAAAATAATAATAATGAAGTAGAAAAATATCTAAATGGTCGCTATATAAGTTCCTCGGAAGCGCTCTGGAGATTTTTCCAATTTCCTATTCATGAACGTTTGCCGGCAGTAGTTCATTTAGCAATTCATTTGGAAAATGGACAAAGAGTTTATTTTTATAATAATGAAAATCTCCAAGATCGCGTCAACAATCCTTCACCAACGACACTTACAGCGTTCTTTGATCTTTGCAAAAGAGACAATTTTGCAAAAACCCTTTTATATCACGAAGTACCCCAGTATTACGTATGGGGAAGAAATTCTTTTTCTAGAAGAAGACGTGGGCAAGATGTTGAAGGATATCCCGGTGTAAAAAAAGACACAACTTTAGGCCGTGTCTACAACATTCATCCAACACAAACTGAATGTTATTATTTAAGAATGATACTGCAACATGTTCGCGGTCCAATGTCGTTTGAACATCTAAGGACCGTTAATGGTGTTATTTTCCAAAGTTATCAAGGCGCTTGCAAGGAATTAGGTTTACTGGAGGGAGATGAACATTGGCAAAATACCATGTCAGATGCTGTCATGTCTGAGCCAGCCACAAAATTAAGAGAATTATTTACCATCATTCTCATATTTTGCCAGCCATCTGACCCCTTAGAGTTATGGAATAAATTTCGAAATGATTTATGTGAAGATATATTAAACAGAATGCGTAATGAGAATCAGGATATGACATTAGCATATAGTGATGATATATACAATGATGGACTTATCATAATTGAAGATAAGATTCATGAGATTTGCGATAAATCATTAACTGATTTTGGGCTTCCTGCATCAAAAAGGAATAATTCACATAATAATTTGGATCCGTTAGAAGTAGCGTTGCGAAAGCCGTATGATGTAAATGAATTAAATGAGTATATTACTGAAAATGAACCAAAATTAGTTAATACCCAGGTGACGGCGTACAATCGTGTTATGCACAGTGTTCTTTTTAATGAAGGAAAAATTTTTTTTTTGGATGCTTCAGGTGGAACTGGCAAGACTTTCATTACTAATCTGATATTAGCAAAAGTAAGGTCTCAGGGAAAACTAGCTTTAGCAGTAGCGTCGTCAGGGATCGCTGCAACTTTATTAGCAGGTGGACGCACAGCTCATTCCACTTTTAAACTGCCTCTAACTGTTTCTTTACAGAAAGATAGCGTGTGCTCTATTCGCAAAAATGGCCCTTTGGGAAAAGTTTTGCAAGACGTCACTTTAATAATCTGGGACGAATGTACCATGATCCATAGAGCTCATGTAGAGGCTCTAGATAGGACTCTTAGAGATATTAGAAGCTGTGATAAAATCATGGGTGGGATTACTGTTATGTTTGCTGTGGATTTTCGTCAAACTTTACCGGTAATAGTAAGGGGAACTAGAGCAGACATTGTAAAGTCTTGCCTTAAAAGTTCCCCATTATGGAAGTTTGTTCATACCTTAAAACTATCTACGAATATGAGAGCACATTTGGGGGGAGGTAGTACAAATTTTCCTTCAAAGCTACTTTTAATAGGAGACGGGAAAGTACCTCATTTTGAAAATAAAATTGAAATTGATCGCGATTTAGGAGAAAGAGTGACTAGCATTGAGGATTTAATATCGAAAGTTTACCCTGATATCGTCGAAATAGAAAACAAAGATTATCCATGGATGTGTCAAAGGGCAATATTGGCGGCGAGAAACAGTAGCGTTGACGAAATTAACGAGCTAATTTTAACTAAACTTCCAGGAGATAAAGTTACCTACACATCTATTGATAATGTAATGGATCAAGAAGATGCGGTCCATTACCCACAGGAGTTTCTTAATTCTTTAAACCCGAGTGGCCTTCCCCCACATTCACTCAAGTTAAAAATAGGTGCCCCAATAATTTTACTTAGAAATCTTAAACCACCAAATTTATGTAACGGGACCCGACTTCAAGTCAAATTTCTTCGCAACAATGTGATCGTTGCAATAGTTTTGACTGGTCCAGCAGTAGGTCAAACAGTGCTTATACCTCGCATCCCAATGATTCCAAATGATTTACCTTTTAATTTTAAAAGGATTCAATTTCCCGTTAAGTTATCTTTTGCCGTAACAATTAATAAATCACAGGGGCAAACATTTAAACACGTAGGAATCGATTTACGTCAAGACTGCTTTTCACACGGCCAACTATATGTAGCGTTGTCAAGATCGGGTTGCGGAGAAAATCAGTATGTTCTTCTGCCACAAGAAACACATAAAACTAAAAATGTCATTTACGCAGAAGTACTTTAAAATATATTCTTTTAAAAACTTCTTAATCGCGATCATAAAAGCAGATTTTTTTTTTTTTTTTTAAAAGACAACTCCCGCATTAGGAATAAATCCTGTGTCGCGGGGGACTTTACAAACATACATGAAACGGACACAAAGAACACCCAGACTCAGAACAACAATTTGTGGATCACACAAAGTGTCGTCCCATGTGGGGTTTGAACCCACAACACTCGGCGTAGTAGGAAGCGGCGTGGCGACCGCTTAAACCACTACGCCATCCGTGCAGTCAAACAAAACAAATTGACGCGGACGAAGTCGCGGGCAACAGCTAGTCTTAAATAAATGAATTATTATTATTATTATAGCGCCAGTACTGAATCACAGACAACCACACTCGGATCGACTCGAATAAGGTAAGAAATAAATAAGTCAAATTAAAAGGCCTTAATACTTTACTTTTACAAATATGTACAACTATAACTATTTAAAAGTGAGCAGTCAGTCTGTCTATCTCATAGAGATCCGCCATGATCTCTTCCACTTTTGTACCGATTTTCTTGGCGATCTGAAAAAAAAACAATTAAAATGTAGTCCATTCGAATTAAGAAAATAGTGACGCATCGATCAAGCTCCGCCGCCGGCCAATCAGGTTTCAAGAAATAATCGTTTCGTTCGAAAGCTTGGAACCTGATTGGTCAGGGAGGGGCCATGATCAAAGCATCACTGATAGTGAATTTTAGATTATTACTGATATTCTAGGGTATCAGGTCGATATATATATCTATATATATATATATATATATATATATATAAACAACTACAATACTCTATATATTTATATATATATATTATTTAACATCGATGTGTGTGGCCGCTCTCACATAATCATCATATTAACAGCCTTTAATAGGCCATTGCTGGACATAGGCCTCGCCTTAAAAAAGTGGTTTTGGCCTACTATACCTCACTGGCCATACGGGTTGGTGTCAAGTTTCTCTCTGCAGTGCTGTTGTCCTGCGTAGTTTGCTCCCTTAGTCGGCTCTTACGACACCCACGAGATGAATAGGGGTGGTGACACTGTATTCTTAATCCGTCACCACACGGACTAGACAGGCCGTTCTACCCATCGATAAAGGGTCGCTTTCGGTCCCGATAATAAAACGATCAACACCACGTAAGTACAAACACAGAGGGACGTTTATATGATATATGGGGGCAAACGAGCAGACGGCTTTCCTGATGGTAAGCAACTACCGCCGCCCATGGCCATCTAGAACTTTTTTCTGTTTTCTTTTTCTTTTAAAGACAACTCCTGCACTAGGAACATATCCTGTGTAGAGGGAGACTTTACAAACATACATGAAATGGACAGAAATAACACCCAGACTCAGAACAATAATTTGTAGATAACACAGAAACAGGGGTGGGGGGGATTTGGTTGGTTTATTTCAGTTTGCAGGACTTTAGTCATACTACTTTAACACTCACGTCTAATTTCTCCGAGTTAGGCATAGTTGTATACATAGTGACGAGATCTCCGTCCAGCATGCTGCGAGCTGGACCACCGCCAACTGGACGTCGCGCTGATTTGTATGTCCTGGAACAAAATATATGGGAATTGATTTAAGGAGTACATTGTTTAGATAGGACTCAATAAAGTTCACATGAAAAATTAAGTTTTCTTGGGATAGGAAGAAAACGAACAGCAGGAGGACCCCATGGTAAGTGACTATTACCGCCTTTTGAGTGATTCTGCCCAGAACAGGGTAGATTCCTAGTTTTAAAATAAATTTTGGATTCCGACGACGACTACAGTCACCCCGGGATGTGCCTCAGACATGGCACGGCAGGGAGGACTCCAAAAGCCGCCGATGCGTTCCTGGAACTCCTCCTGACTGCCGCGGGGTTTAGTGGGTAAACCGGTTCTCCGGGAGTCCCACACACGCCCTGCGTTTCCCCACAACAGAGGGTATAGTGCGAAAAGCATTACCCGCGTAAAAAAAAAGTTTTAAATAAATTATTTCGCCTGCATAATTAAATGTATCATCTTTAAAGTAAAGCTAGAATGGTCCTCCATTATCAATTTATTGATTTTATTGATTTGGTATCTCGTTATCAACATTAAATATAAATGAATTGACAATAGCTAGGTATGACGTCACTAAATAGCGTTTTGACATTTAAAAAAGATACTTATTTGACTTGACAGTCGTCTACCCTATTTGAGGGGTTAGTTAGCTTCCGGTAACCTCAGTAATAAAGCTATCAAGATTAAGAAAAAACTATGTGTGAGAGTGATGAGACAAAAATGAAAAAGAGTTGCTTTAAACCAGTTTCCTGTGAAGCTGGAGGACCTGTTTCTGACCTGGACCAAAATGATTGAAAACGAAGAAGAAAAAAAATACTAAAAAGTAACTGTCGGCCGTATACCTGTAGGCCCTAGGGTTGAGTCCAGCGATGTGACAGCAGTAGTTGTTCATCACGTTCTGCAACATGAGCAGGCGCCGGTACATCTTCTCCGTGATGGGCAGCACGTACCCCACGCCTCCGTCCAATGTTGCTGCGGGACAAACGGACATACACTTAACATAAAGCTATATTCATACAAATATTTCTGTGGTTACATGTCCCTGGAACATATAGGGTGGGTTCTCCAACCAAGCGAAGGAGGCAGGATATTTACTAATCGAGAAATTAGTGGCGCTGTGTGTCAGATGTTCAAAAATATTATAAATAAAAAAAAATTTAAATATATATATTGAAATTTAAGGACATAAAAAGGTAAAAATAATGGGACCATGGATAGGTATTTTATTTCTATACCCTATAAGATACTGTATGTATGTCATACAATATATTTCTGCATATCGCACCCTTAGAGAAAGGCATAAATTATAGAAAAGAAAAAATCTGTCTTAAACCAAAGGGGTTTAAAAATACCCCCTTATTTACAGAAAAAACACTTCTATTAAGTATTCGTCCAGTGAGTGTCGTAAGAGCCGACTAAGGTAGCAAACTACGCAGTACAACAGCACTGCAAAGAGAAGGTAAATTTAAAACAAATCCTATACCAATCCGTCTGGCCAGCGTGGTATAGTAGGCCAAAACCTCCTTTCTAAGAAGAGGCCTATGTCCAGCAGTGGACTATTAAAGACTGTTGATGATGTGATGTGAATGGTCAAAAGGAATCGGTATTACTTCAGAAGCATGTCTCTCTCACGGCAAAACGTTGCGATATAGAGTTATTAAAATTTAATATAGACTGGACTCAGATTAAATAAAAAAGTTAATATGGAACTTTGCGAAGACCGAAGTCTCGCCGGTTTTATAAACATGTGTGCGTGGGACCGGTGGAGCCATCATAATTTTATTTTATTGGAAATATTAGTTTCTAAGCTTACTTATGTGTGAAATGCTATTCGTTCCTACTACCTATTTACTTTGATTTTTACACCCTTTCACAACACAATTCGGCCTTTTTACTTTTAGAGACCTCCTTTATAAGGAGAGGCCTATGTCCAGCAGTGGCTGTTGATGTGTGATGTGACTTGTAAATATTGTTGACATTTTGACTGACAAGGCGTAGTTTAGTTGTACGTGTGTGCGTGTAATTATGTATGTACACGCCAAGGCGTAGTTTTAATTGGCCTCACTTCTTTGTTTACAAAGTCCTTAATTATTTTATTTGACCTGAGAGACTGGATTTTTTGACTGGTATTAATTTGTACTGGATGCTTTGACACGTTCAGTAGAAAAAGGATATTAATAGGTATGTTTACCTTAATTTACGGTACCCTAAAATGAAATATAGTAGAGTTAGCTACTCACTGAACATGGTGACGTGGCGTCGCACCACGTCCCCTGGCGCGTGGGTGGCGGCGATGCGGAACATGGCGTTGACCTGCTGCCCCACGTGGTAGTCGCCCTTGCGGATCAGCCGTTGACCTAGGGGGGGGGGGGGGGGGCACAACTTGTTACTACTCGTTCAACTTTGCTTCAAACTACGATCACTTATTACAGTCATTTTGATAACAATTGCAGTTGAGTTACTTGAATTTGACCTTTCTTTCAATTTACTTAAGGTTTAGAATTAAATATTTTTTGAAAGTATCGATATTTTGGCAATACCCAATAACATCACACAAACGTGACCCCTGGTAACATTGCAAAAAGACACTTAGTTACTTAAAAAAGGCAAAGTACAAATAATCAGTGTAAAGGGACTTGACTAATTTAATTAAATAATTATAATATAATACTTATGAAAAACGTGAATGTACTCAATATTTGTTCTAGATGTAACGTTGCCAGCCATGCTCTGGCGACGCGTCGCCACGCATTAGATGTTTCACGTCAAAAGCAAATTTAATACCTCACAAAGTTGATAATTACCTCCGTAGCTCTCTCTAGCCTGCGGTTGGTACATAAAGAGAGTCAGGTTTCCCTCCGACTCACTCACGAGGAAGCCGAGCGTTGTGTTGTCCACCATAAATTCCATGTCATATATCTGAACAACAAAGAACAATGTATTGACTTGGGAGCAAACAAGCAGACGGGTGACCACCGGTGGTAACTTACCATCAGGTAAAGAGATAGAGGTCATCAGGTGAAGATAAAGAGTATTTACTGTGAGCTTGAAAACGCCACAACCAAAAATAAAGAAGTTCCATATAAATTTTCAACCCCCATTTTGCACTCCTTTCTTAGTGCACCCCTACGTCACCTAAGAAACATTTGTGCAAAATTCCATGCTTCTAGACCCAGCGGTTTCAGCTGTGCGTTGATCGATCAGTCACTGTATCAGCCTGTCAGTTTCTTCTTTTATAGATTATGCTTTAAAGTAAAAAATATGTACCTATATATTTTGACCTGTCGTGACACCAAAGTCTAAACAGTTGTAGTTCAAGTTATACTAGTCAATTAAATAAAAAAACCTATTAAAAACGGTCGACCTTCAACCGCTAAGCAAACTTGAGTAAAATAATTAATAATAAATACCTGGGCAGTTCTAAAGTCTCTCGAGACCAGAGACAGAGTCCTATGCTGGTGCTGATACCGCAGGAGCGAGATGGACTTGTACACATCAGCGACAAGCACCAAGTTCTTCACAGCCAATATACGGTGCACGTAGATCTGCGTGTCTATGAACGCCACGCCCACTAAGTCGTTGTCTTTTAATTGCCATATGTAGATCTGTAAACATATATAATTATCAGACTAATGCCCAGTTGCTTAGATATTTCCTGGTATATGGGCTAAACGAACAGACGTGTCGCCTGATGGTAAGTGCCTACCGCCGATAGACACCTGCAACAGAAGTGCATTGTCGCTCTTTGATCACCCCCAACTTGGGAGGGAGGGGAGGAAATGTTCCTTCGATAATTATTGATAGCAACCTTACATGGCAAAGTCACATAGCAAAACTTAAATCCAAACTATCATCTCTCACAGGAATCTTAAGACCCATCTCACAATGTCTGCCACGTAAAGTGTTTATATCTAACTCTCTAGTAAAGTCCCATATTGATTATTTAATTGAGATTTGGGGCACATACTCCAAAACTAACTTAAACTTACTACAAAGAGCCCAAAATAGGCTAATAAAAGTCCTTTTTCACTTTGATTATCTAACGCCTACGGAAATAGTGTATAGAAACACAAAAATACTAAATCTAACCCAGACTTACGTATACTATACCTGTTTATTGGTGCGTAAAGTATTGGGCGGGGATATCCATACACAAATAAGTTTCACCATAAAAAGAGACGTTCAAAAGACTCAATTAAGAAGGGCTAATAATATAGTTTTGAAACCACCGCGTACCAACTATGGCAAAAAGAATTTCATGTGCGCGCAGTTATATAACAGGCTTCCTAAAGATATTAAGGAATCGCGATCCATCGCTTCTTTCAAAATAATGCTTAAAGATCATGAAATTAAAAACTACAAGTAATTACTAAAAGTATGAATCTTAATATTAATCAGACAAACAAACGATTAAACTAAATAAATATAGAATAAAGTGAAACACACTTAAAAATAAATATCATCTCACAAATATTGATGACAAAAATTAAAATATCGCTTCCAGTGAGGTGCACTAAAATCTTACATCTTTGTAGTGTGATGTTCACTCCGTCTACGCTCGAAGTTAGTGTAGGTAACCATCAAAAACATTATTATTTTGATACCGCTTTTATGTGTGCTCACAAATAAAATATGTTGTGTATTAGTATTATGTTCTCATGTTAAGTGAATTGTATCATAATTCTTAAGGAGAATAAATAATTTCAAACCAAAAAAAAAAACTAAAAATAACCTCACACATTATCATAAACAGCCTTTACTAGTCCACTGCTGGACATATCCCTCTCCTCAGAAAGGACGTTTTAGCCTACTATACCACGCTAGGCAGACGGGTTGGTATAATTTTTGTATCAAGTTTTCCTTCTCTTTGCAGTACTGTTTTGCGTAGTTTGCTCCCTTAGTCGGCTCTTACGACACCCAAAAGATGAATAGGGGTGGTGAAATTCTGTATTCTTAATCCGTCACCACACGGACTGCACACCTCACAGACTCGGTTGAAAGCCACGAAATAATCTATTGACATAAATTTCTATAAGTAGATATTAGATGACAATTGTGCTTTTTTCTATAGTACTTAAGGTGAATTAGCATACTTCCTTCCCACCAGTCATATATATACCTTTTGTCCGACTGCAGATATGAGGTATCCGAGAACTTGTGTGAGCGCTGTGACAGGTCCCTTCTGTTCCTTCGCGTACAGCTCCTTGAACCTGTTCTTGGTGAGCGGCTGGCCCGGTTCTGGCACCACGTCTATTATGTCGTAGATTATTATCTGACAACAAAACACTCATTTAAAAATTGCATATTATTACCCAACTACCCAAAGAACAGGTGGGGGTTAAGTTTAATTTTATTCTCTATGTTAACAAAATTTCAACAACTTTGAATAGGAAATAGCATTTTAAACCTACTTGGTTTTCTATTTTTTACCACAAAAGCTGGATTTAACCACCATTTGTATGTGTCAACTTATCAAATAAGTAATAGCAAAAAAACCCTCACGAGCAAAACGGAAACCTGTTTTACAAAAATCTGTTTAAAACCTACCCTTCCTCTAGAAGTAATATCTTCGCTATAGTTATAATTTGTGCCTATAGCTATGTACCCTCGCAGTCCAGATCTGGAACCAAAAGAAATTATTCTCAATTACTAAATTATCTCTCTTATCAGCATTCCTAACACTTCTGTGTCTCTAACTTTACATTATAATTACTATGGATTGATTTTAGTTTTTTTGGATTTGGTTTATTGTATGTCCGTGTAGTGACGGATTAAGAATACGGAATGTCACCACCCCAATTCATCCTGTGGGTGTCGTAAGAGCCGACTAAGGGAGCAAAACAACGCAGGACACCAACACTGCAAAAAGAAGGAAAACTTGATACAATCCCTATACCAACCCGTCTGGCCAGCGTGATACAGTAGGCCAAAAGGCCTCTTTTCTAAGGAGAGGCCTATGTCCAGCAGTGGACTATTAAAGGCTGTTGATGTGATGTGTGATTATTGTATGTATGTATTGTTTGGTTGATTTTAGTTGGTTTTATTTATTGTTTTCTTTTCTAAAGACAACTCCTGCACTAGGAATATATCCTATGCCGCGGGAGACTTTACAAATATACATGAAACGGACACAAATAACACCCAGACTCAGAACAACAATTTGTGGATCACACAAAGTGTCGTCCCATGTGGGGATCGAACACACAACACTCAGCACAGTAGGGAGCATCGAGGTGACCACTTAAACCACTACGCCATACGTTTATACGAGTTTATATTTATGAACTTGTATATCAGTCTCTACTTTTTTCTATTCCTTTGTGGAATGCATTCCATCGTGGAATCAATTACGTTACGAATCACAATTTGTTGTAATAATAAAAAATCTACGTAAAAATAAATTTACTGTGGACCGTGGATAAAACAATTAATGATAAACTGTTGAAATAAATCGGAGCCAAAATATTAAGATACTTCCATAGGGCTTTCTTAAATATGATTTTTATTCAAGCAGGAGAAGATTTCTAAACAAATAAAGACATGACAAAGGCTGAGATGAGTGAGTGGTCCTGGTGAGAGTTACCTGGTCCCCTCGTACGAGAGCGAGACGTTTTTGAGACACGTGACGTGTTCCCACTCGTCCAGCTCGATTCGAGTGTTGGGGATGATCTCCCACGAGACGGGCGAGAATAACGTCACTGAGAACTTGTCTTGCATTGGATACGGGAACCTGGAATACAAGTAATACATAATCTAATTAAATCCTAATGGTAACCAGCCTGCAGATCAACATCTTTACTTAGTATAAAATGGAGTCCCTTTTTTTTGTACGCTTAGATCTTTCAAACTACGCAACAGATTTTAACGCCAAAGAAGGCAAGGTTGACTTCTTCAAAAAGTTCAGATGGGAGCTGAATTTTTTTATCATAATAAATAAAAATGATGGTATAGAGTGAAAACGAGCAGACGGGTCAAATGGTGGAAGTGATGTGGTCGATATCGACCCCTTGGGTTCGAAATTGATTTCCCAGTGGTCGCCATAAACGAAAACTGATTTTGGGGGTGGACGAGGTCTAAAAATCGACCAGTACTAATTAACACAACTTCTTATTTTAACTAATTTTGAAACTTTGAAGATACTGTATTAGTGGTGTTACGTTGTTATAAGAAAGACTAATATTTTAGAAACAAGTATCATTCTTGTACTTTTAAAAACCTCAACAAGTCGATAAGCGTGCAGTAATTTGGCTATGGGAGTCTGAAGTAACAGTTCATTTTAGAAAAGGGGTCTCTTGCCCAAAATACTTTGGGAATCAATGGTTTAAGAGAATAAGTCTTCATTCTACAATTATCTATGTATACTATACTACCGTCACCCGAGGCCTACGCCTGCGAATTTGGACGATTTGTTTCTTTTTCCTGTTTCTAAAAATAAAAATATAATTTATAGCCTACAACAATCAGGGATAACACAGCTACATATTAGTAAAAGTATTTCCGGAATCTAAGTCAAAATCGACATAAGTGGCGTGTAATGGGAGAGGCCTATGTCCAGCAGTGGACTGCGATAGGCTGATGATGATGATGATTTCCGGAATCGGTTTAGTAGTTTTACCCTCTACTTACAATCAAATTTTACCGCTTTATGATAATAGTATGGATTATGGTTTTACCTATCTCCTTTACTTTCATTAGCTTTCTCTTTGTCCTCGCCGTTGAACTTGTAGTAGCTGGTGGTAGGAGTGTGGGTGGATGCCACGAGGCAGTAAGTCTTGGACTCCACGTGGTATGTGACGAAGTGAGGAGTGACCCTTAGAGGGACTTTGCGGACAGGCCACCAAGCGTCGTACGAGAGATGCGTGGGCAGAGCGCAGATACGAAGCGACGACTGGAAAATATTTTTTTTTTATTTACGTCTTATGGGCATTGGTAGCAGATTTCAGTGCTATTTTAATTATTACAGCTTTATCATCAGTAGCCTTTACTGGTACTAGACATAGGCCTCTCTTTAGAAAAGAGGTTTTGGCCTACTATACCACGCTGGCCAGACGGGTTGGTATAAGGTTTGTGTCAAGTTTTCCTTCTCTTTGCAGTGCTGTTGTCTTGCGTAGATTGCTCCCTTAATCGGCTCTTACGACACCCACGGGATGCATAGGGGTGGTGACACTCTGTATTCTTAATCCGTCACCACACACAAAATGTATTTAAAAAATTATTGCAATTTTGAAAAAATATCGTAGGATATTTATAGGCTGAATACGCACAAAACTTTTGCTACCAACGCCAGAAAAAAATGACAAATTTGACAATCGTCTCCGAAACGTCATAGATGACAGATGGATGACGGTTCTGTTTATGCACTTGTTGATAGTTTGTTTTGTTTTTTAGGTTGGCATTTTTTGTGTTAATTTTGAGTATGTTATGAAGAATTGTGCGATTTTTATAAATATATGGAGAAATTGATAGACTAAATCATGTTCAGGCGAAAAGCGTTCCCCCTATTTTTTTTTGAATAAACACTAGTATAGGGTATATTTATATATAGTATTGCCATCCTCCATTAACAATTTATACAACCATGAAATAACTTTGTTTTTTCCTTAAATGCAAAATTTAAAAAATGTTTTCTAAGTAATTTTTAAAACCTAATTTTAGCTATCATATATCAGTGTAAGTAGAGGTATAATGGATTTTATTCGGAATAAAAAACCAACGTAAATACAAATAGTGTATGTCTCAGCTCCGATGCACAGTCGGAGTTTACTCGATAAGAACGAGTCGGCTGCACACAAGTATACAAGTTATACACACACAGGTGAAATGTGCGCACTATATGTTGCGCACAATAAACATAACGAGGTCATTCGATCACTAAATTTTACTCTTCATTTTTTTTTTTCTTTTTTTTTTTTCTTCATAGCGGGCGCCTTATATGAACGTCGGCTCTTAAGGAGTAAACTAGAAAAAGTGGACAACATTTTTTAGACTTTATATCCTACAACGAAAAATAATAAATGATTGACCAAGATGAATGAAAGCTGATAGTGTGCGAAGTGCAGAAAGTAAGTTACCTTAGCATTGAAGAACAAGAAGCCGTTGGGGCAGTTGGTGTTGTTGAAGGGAGCGAAGCTGACCACGGGCGCGTGCTCCGCGCACAGGGGGTGCACGCGCAGCTCGCCTCGCGCCGTCAGGAACAGGAAGTGCGGGGACGGGCCGCACACGAACACGCCGTTGTACCCGCCCACGTTACCTGCACACGACCCCTATGTGACGCAACGGCAGGAGGTACGGCGACCACAGCACTCCAATAGTGTACCTGAACCCACCAGCCGCTGAGCAGAGGTCTCTACTTGACGACCGAACTCCGCGCACGATGTTAGCGTCCTAACCATCTACATTATTTATAATCTCTTTGGATATAATATGTATATCTTTGTAATATATTAAGTAATTTAAGTACAGTCAACTTTTCAACTCAAAAAAGAAAAGGTATTCCTTCATAAATTGAATAATAATAATAATAATATAATATATTCTATCACATTCACACAACGCCACCTAATCCCAAACTAAGCAGAGCTTGTACTATGGGTACTAGACAACTGACATAAATACATATATACTTTTTTTTTATAAATACATACATATTATATATATATATATATATATATATACCTAGAAACACCCAAACCAAATCAAACATCAAATGTTCATGCACACAAATGTTTGACTTGAGCGGGAATCGAACCCGCGACCTTTGGAACAGCAGTCCGTTACGCAAACCACTACGCCATCCAGTCGTCAAAAAACAATAACTATATTTGTATGTATGTTTAATCATTATAGTAAAGGATTATATGCAGTTACCACTATTTTATGAATGTTTTTATACAAAGGTTGCCGAAGTTAGGAGTGTAAAATTAAAGAAGACTATAAAATTTGAATGACATTTTATACTTTATGTATTTCATAGTTTCTCGAAATAAGTTTTTTTATGGAACAGGGGGCAAACGAGCAGACGGGTCACCTGATGGAAAGCGACTACCGCCGCCCAGGAACGTCTGCAACCCAGGAGTCACAAACGCGTTGTCAGCCTTTAAGGAAGGAGGACGCTCTTTTCTTGAAGGTTTGAAGTTCGTATCGGTCCGGAAATACCGCAGCCGATAACTTTTTCCACAGATTGGTAGAGGCAAAAAGTGTCTTGAAAAGCGCGTTGTAACTGTGTTAGATGTACTTTTACATCGGTAGAGTACTCGTAATGAGTCGATCGTAAATTCACCGCCGTTTTAAATTCAACATTAAAATTAACAAATCAATGGTTGTGTATGAACATGAGCTTCAAAGAGAGGATAAAAGGTGTGAGGTACAGACCGAAGTAGCGACATTGCCGCACGCCTTCCTTAAGTTGTTGCGCCTCGTACGAGTCGTCGCTCGTGGAGAGGGACCCCGCGCGGTACCCGAACGGGAACGACACGTTCACGCGGGAGAAACGCATCTTCAGGTTGCCGCGAGGATACTTGTATGCCTGTTTACACATAAAATACATTGATAGGTATACTTTTTATGTATAATTAACTTAGACCCGCGGTGTTACCCGCGTTTGTTGTTATAACCGCGGGCAACGCCGCGGGGCGAGCTAGTCTAAAAAAAGTAGCCTAAGTTACTCCTTATGTCATCAGCTATCTGCCAGTGAAAGTCCCGTCAAAAGCGGTCCAGCCGTTCCAGAGATTACCCGGAACAAACAGACAGACAAAAATGGTAAAAAATGTTATTTTGGCATATCTACCGTGTAAACATACATATGCATTAAGTAAAAAGCGGTTATTTTAATATTACAAACAGACACTCCAATTTTATTTATTTGTATAGAGTATAGATAAATAATAATAAGATGTCGGTAATCTACTATTTTATTTAATATGTGTTTAAAAATGAATTAATATGTGCGTATAAAATAAATAAAGAGAATAATAATAATATTGTACCACATTCACACAACGCCATCTAGTCCCAAACTAAGCAGAGCTTGTACTATGGGTACTAGACAACTGATATAAATACATGTATACTTTTTTTTCTTTTTACATACATGGAAGTAAAGCTCTTTTGGCTTTACATTAAATTAAAATTAAATTCGACTATTCGTCAAAGTTTTATCTATGGTGACAGCACTTTGCACTATGTTGATTCTATAACGAGAAAAATTCTCTCCGGCTTTGTAAAAGAACAAGTGAACGAGGCTTTTCAAAAGAATCATTTTATTCCATTTTAGATTGTAAAAATATTATTTGAAGCATTAACTTTTAATGTTGTTTCTCTTTACAGGTCACACACAATACAACTATTTTTACAGGTTTTGTACTTAATACAATAGTGTAGCCATTCGTTGTTCAAAACATGTATAGTAATAAATAATACCTATTACATTAACAATTTTAACAATCTCACTCATCCCGCCCGCGTCGCGGCAGCCGGACCGCCAAACACAACAAATCACTCCCAGACACAGCACCTACTAACCCGCTTTTCACTCAACTACTCGTCCCGGGCGGGAATCGAACCCCGACTCCTGGGCCCCCATACCGACAGGCCTGTCTTATTTCAGGTTCCTATTATATATATATATATAAACAAGATGTGATGAAAGTGTAAGTTATGTTTACAAAAGTTATTTGTGATATGTCTCTTTACAGAATAAATTTCTCTTTACAGAGCAACAACTTTGGTTTTTTGTATAAATGTTGTAATGGCCCATCTACGTTGTACATCGAAGTCGTGTAGTATTATTTCTGACCCTTAAATCCGGCAGGGAAGTGCATTTTTCGTAGACATGACAATAGTATCCATATTTTTATGTTAAAACGATTACATTCCCAAAGATGGTTGGCAGACGACCATAAAAGAAAAAGCGAAAACCATTTCGCAATGAAATGAAAGAGTGCGTGAAAGAGGATATCGTGTGATCAAAGAGAATAGAAGAAGTAAACCCGTCACTGACATATTTTGACATCCCAAGGTAAAAAAAAACTATACAACGATAGTTCAAGTTATACTGGTCAAGAAATAAAACAAAACATTAGCCAGGCGTTGTCTAGTATACATAAACTAGCTAACTGGCGCAATTTAGTCTTCGTCTCACAAAACTAATAAATGATTCCCTTCGCAAAAAATTAATTGAAGCTCCGCTCCTATTGGACGTAGCGTGATGTTACATAGGCTTGCTCGATAAAAGGGCTATCCAATACTAAAATATTTCGAAAAAGTGGTTCTAGAGATTAATACTTTCAACCAAACAAACAAATAAACTTTTCCGCTTTATAACATTAGTGTAGAAGTAATGTTAAGTTAACAAAACAATAATAGAACTAATCCCACCCACACGCCCACCACTGTAACTTCTGTACACCAGGATCCACAGCAGTGATCCACGAACACACCGAGTTATGACACACGGGAAGTCTCAGGAAGAAATTAAACTGTCTTGGAACCCGCAACGAAATTAATCAGAAGAAAATTGGAGGAGTTGGAAATACAGTAAATCCACTTCCCTTCTTAGCAAAGCGGGAGACAAAATGAAGTAAAACAGGCATACACCCTTTTAAACAGGGAAGCACCACGGCCACAAAATATTACGGGTCCTACATGAGCTATATTTGATTTCTATAATATGTATGGCAGAATCGCCTAAACGCACGGAAATTCACCCTAGTTGACACAAGATCCCCATAGTATACCGCCCCAGATGTCATCTGCAAGCTATTCAGCACTATATTACGTTCATTATACCAAAGACTACATTCCCAGAGGATATGATGAGCAGACAGTTCATAGTGAGAGTTAGGTGTTGACCATTGACACAATAGTAATAATAGTTAATATACCTGATAAATCATAAGTTGGTCTGAACACCGCATCAGCATGAGAACCCTGGTGCCTTTGTGTCCCAGCCCCACCACCAAGAGCTCCTTTAGTTTCTCAGCGTCAGCGTTCAAGCCGCCGCTCGTCAGCTCTTCATCGTCCACGGCGTTGGACGGCATCGGTACTGATTCCAGACTGTCGGCCAAGATCTGGATGACATAATTTTAATACATTATACCATGTAACATGTATGGCGGTGTGGCGACGTATTCTTTCATAAGCCTATCCTTTTATACTCATTATTTGCACAAAATTATTTCAATGTTTCACGTCTACCAGACGACCCATCATCATCATAAGACTATCGCAGTCCACTGCTGGACATAGGCCTCTCCCATAGCACGCCACTTAGATCGATTTTGCCAGACGACCCGTGACTGCTTTTTTTTCAAGTTTGTTATATTAAAACTTTATTATTACTTGATTGTTTCAGTTTACCTTTTCAGGTTATTTTTGGAAGATAAAAGGCCACAAACAAAGTTTAGTCCAGCATAAGACACTCACCCTGTTCCCAGCACAGGCATCCCGCACCAGGAAGCTGAGCCTCATCTCCGGTAGAGAGTAGATCTCGAGGTTGCCGTTGAGGCGCAGCACGAAGAGCCAGTAGGTGGGCTTCACCTCCTGCAGGTACTTCTTCCACCAGCGCGAGATGCGCCGCGGCACCCCGGGGTTCTTCGACTGCTCCGCTAACATTATCTGCACGGAAAATTTCATTACTGAATATGAGGAACTCAAACTCACTCTTTATTTCATAAAATTTTCAAAATTGTTTAAAATCGTCTTTTATGTAGACTTTAAAGTCATACATCAATCAACACACACAAAAGCAACAACTTCTGTTTTGTCAAATAGTAAGCAAATAAATTTAAATCACTCAGAACTCAGAGCCGTATACCATACACGTTTTTAATATCTTATATATTAAGGAACCGAATTCCGGTAAAAAATCATTTTAGTGATAATTTCTCTCAGAGGATATCTATTGTGTTACTCGATTAAATACTGTACTGCTGTAAATAGCTGTAAGACATTCGAAGGTTTTGGCTCAACTTAAAATATCTTTACTTATATTTTAAAAATATCATGGTATCGTTCTGGGTGAGTTAGCCTATGTGTTATAAATCAATATTTCTTTAGAAGGGGAACCATAAAATACCAAAGGATGTAGGTACTCACGCTAGCCATAGAAGCCGGTGTCTGGTCACCGCCATACAGCAGTTCATCTTCATCGTTTAACTCGTAGATAGTGCCCGGCTTGAAGCCTTCAGCTTTCACGTTCTTGCCTTTGCCTTTCATTTTACCAGTGAATTCGCCTTTCACCTATATTTATTAATTAATATTTCATTTTTAATGTGTTCGAAAATTATGAGGTTATATTTTAGAATTATGTTGAATATTGTATTCGACTGTAGAAGATTAATGCAGAGATATCGAATTTGTAATATTTTAATGTTTTGAGGGAATTAAATAATTAATAATTACGTTGAATATAATGAATTTAAAAAAAGCATTATTTAATTATAACTAAAACAAAAGAAACATTAGAAAATAAGATATTTCGGGATCATTATTATAACACATTTATCGAGTTTGATGTACTGGACTCGTCAAAACGACGAGGGGTTCACCGGCAGGTATCCAGGTGGCGGCGGTGGGTGGTATTTATTTAAGGAGTTCTAGTCCCCGGCCGTACCTGCGAGTCCCCGGCCTCCGGCGGCGCGAACAGGCCGCTGAGGTCGCGGTACACGGCCGCGCGGAGCAGGGCGGGCCGGTGCGGGACGGCCTGGCGCGTAGGGGCCAGGCGACCCGACGACTGCAATATATACACGTTCTTGGTATAACTATGGTATGTGTGTAGGGACTCACAATATATTTATAAAAAAAAAAGTGGCATTCGACAGAAGTGAAAACTTGAAAATGAATATATTTTTTATTATAACAGGTTTTTTAAAATACTAGCAAAGAATATTATAAAAAATACTATGGTAAAAAATTGTTGTGTCTCAAAAACCTTAATTACTGTGGTAGGAAATTAATAAATGTCTCGAAACTCCTAATAAATACGAGGCATGTGCGTACTCATGAACATACGCATTAAGTATTCAGTTCATCATCATCATCAACAGCCTTTAGTGTTTCACTGACTAGATGAAGGCCTCTCTTAGAAATAATGGTTTGGGCCTACTATACCACTCTAACTAAACAGATCGGTATAGGGTTCGTGTCAAATTTTCCTTCTCTTGCAGTGTCGTTTGTTCCCTCAATCGGCTCTCGCGAGACAGAGGGGATGAACAGGGGTGGTGAGATCCCTCAAACACATAGAGAAGCTAACCGCGCCGTCCTTCCCGCGGAACTCCCTGAGCGCGAGCACGAGCGCGCGTCCGCAGGCGGAGAGCACGCACAGGTAGGGGTCGGCCGTGGCCGCGTAGGCCGCCGTCCACTCCAGCTGGATCGACTGCAGCTGCACGCCGTCTGGGAAACATACATCCGATCCTCAGCAAAACTAAACACTTATATTTTTCACCTGTAATTTTTACTAAATCTTCTCATTAAAAAGTTAAATACAGAAATTAAATTCTATTGAAAATTTTACTCAGGAGGAACGCATTACATTTTTTTAATATCTTAAAAAACTTACTTTCTCAATCAAATTATAGAATCATAAGTAATATTTCTTTTTTGTGTAAAAGTTATCCAATATATTTTTCTTAACACATTATTGTATATGCACAACGCGATAATATTGAATTAAATAGATAAAACATGAACAAAAATAAATATACATTGATAATAAAAAACAATATCTTTTACATATAAATTTCTTTTTAACGTTTAACATGAAAAATTTGTTACACAATTCTCGCTTTTAAAAATTTGTACAAAATATTTTTCTTGAAAAGGGACGGAAATGTGTAACAGAAAGCTGGGGAAGCGCACGCTCATTGATTTAGATAATAATAGTGTACGCGGTACTAAAGTTCTCCGTCAAATGGGAGGTAATATTTCAGATATTACACGTCATTTTCGATTTCCTTAATAAAAGTTTAAATTCCCACTTACTCTTGATAAGCCTTATTCCCACAGTAGTGACTTGTACCATAAACTTATTATTAGCGAGATTCCCCGCGAATATGGTGGGGGAGGCGGTCATGAACCCAGAATTGTCGACCTCATTGATCTCCTGGCCGGTCTGCAGGACCATGGACCCGTCCTCTTGGGTCAGTATGAGGTACGCGTGGGACCCGTCAGCCTCGCGGGTGGAGTCTGTACCTTCGGCGAAGACCGACCACATGTCAATACAGCCTGGAAGAGAAAGTAAGATTTATCAGATACTGCTTTGTTACTGTTGGCGTATTATTTAAATAGTACTGTGGTAACTTTAGGGCGCAGACTAATGATACACGTTCGTAAAGTTGAGAGCGTTTAATTCGTAAATAACAAGCGTACGTTCCGCGTCAATGTCCGTTTGTTACTGTCGCTCTCGACCGAGCGTTAGCGATCCGAGGACGGCTGGCCTGCGCCTGCGCATCGTGCGTCACAGCGGGCGCGCGGGGCGCGTTGTCACTACTGCGGTGGCAAGCAAGGGTCGTTCGATCTTCCCGCTACAGTACTGTTCCTATGTCTATAACTAGAAAATTATCTTTTTAAAAACCGTTCATAATTTATAAGTGATAACTTCTTTAGGCACTTTGGGCAGGTTTGAACAACAAACAAAAAGAATGTATTTTTCAGAAATGGGAAAACACCGTTACGGACACCTCTGTATATACGTATCTACATATATTGGCCCCGTCAACACGAGAGTTGTCTGCGTTGAAATACATTGTAAATATAACTAGGTATATATAATATAAACATATATCGTGTTTAAGTTTTTACTTCTGTCGGCACTCCCGGAGTGCATCTGTTTTTTTTTTGAAGTGAAAACTTCATTAAACGCGTTGGGCATTTTTAAACAACACACAAAAGAATGTATTTTATGGTTTAACAAAAAACACATTATTTGAGATTAACACGCGTCACTGTTACCGTTACCGACACCTCTGTATATAAATATTCACATACTAGCTGACCCGGCAGACTTCGTACTGCCTCAATTGATAAATAAAAGACCTAAACTTTTGTATAAAATTAACAAACAAAAGGAATCCTTTTTTTATGAAAACAATTCAAAAATGCTCGGAGTTAAAAAAAAAATCGAGCATTTTCATATTTATTCACCTTTTAAACCTTCTCTGGACTTCCACAAATAATTCAAGACCAAAATTAGCCAAATCGGTCCAGCCGTTCTCGAGTTTTAGCGAGACTAACGAACAGCAATTCATTTTTATATATATAGAGATATAGAGATATTGGCGAAAAAAATACACACGTAATTGGTCAAGTTGTCACTTCTGTCGGCACTCCCGGAGTGCCAGTTTTTTTTTTATTGTCTGGGGGACAAGGAGCAGATGGATCACCTGCAACTCAGTCTCAAATATGTTCAAGCCATTTAAGTCCCCCTCAGAATCAGGGTAACCACACCCACTCGGTGAAAAGCAAAGAGAAAATAGCTTAACACCGGTTTACTTAGAGGCCATCACTAGCACTCCGGTCGAGCCGGTCTAAGCAATTCGAACAGGTATACTTTGTGAAGTTCAGTAATACACTTACCAGGCAAATTGAAAGCTGTAATCAACTGCGGCCTCACAGTACGTTGTAGTACAGTCAGCGCTCCATTCTTGCCCCTGCCACTGCATACGACGAGTTCTACTATAGGGTTGTCTTGCTGCCGACTGTACTCCTCCGACAGCAACTGAGGCTCTCCCATTGATACGTCACCAATCGGACATATGTTGAGAAGGGAATCGCACACCTGAGCGATAAAAAATATTGTTATGAAATCTTACTAACACGTTTGTTGCTCAATTACACCAGAACGGCTGAGTTGATCTGGATGAAATTGGGCAGAGAGATAGATTATAAGCTAGGAGTGTTTACGTATAACTGTAAATTCTGTAAATCATCATTTGTTGTTATTATTAAATGTAATCAAAATTATATACTCAAAAGCACTGAAGCTAACACCCCCAGCCGTCGGTCCCGGTTGCCATACAGCCATCTGAAGTCTGACAACAGTCCTACTATAGAATTTTGAAATCGCCTAGTACTTGGGTTGTGAATGTCTGATGGCAGCCGCTCCACGTATAAAATCGGAGTTCAGCTGTATCCAGTAGACTTAAAGACGACCAAAACCTAGTTTGGGAAGAAGTCCCGGAGGTATGCCATTTTGAATTGAGTACCCATTGTTATAAAGACCAACAAGCAACAAGCAAGACCACAGAAAACCTAAAAAATAATGATTTGGTGTAAAATAATTATTTCGTAATGTCACCTAGTGGGAGAATACTGACCCTCTGCCTCCTCCCCCTCTGGGGGGGACACTCAGAAGGTAACAACGCACTTGTGTCTCTTGAATTGCGAGTGTCATCAGGTCAGCCTCGTTTGCTCCCTAAACCATAAAAAAGTCGCCTTACCTCGAAAACATAGCTGGTCAGCTGCGTGGACGTCCTTATATCGGAGCCGTACACCTCGAGCTCGTCTTTGTCGCTGATCTCGATGACGTTGGTCGCCACGCAGTCGCTGATGGTGTCCAGCCGACGCTTCTTTGCCGCAGGATCGGACTGATCCTTCTGTTGTGTGGTGGGGGCGGCTGGAGCGGTGTTGGTGACGATTGATGGATCTGTACATGGAGGATGTTAATAAATATACTCGTATATATTATCTCTGTCTCACACACGGCTGTCTGATCACAAACTAAAGCGAGTCCCATATTTTTAATATAATATGGTTTTATCAATAGAGAGAAGGGTTAATATGTATCCTCATCAGCCTATCGCAGTCCGATGCTGAACATAGGCCTCTCCCATTGCACGCCACTTAGATCGGACGCGGACTCCACTCAAGAACTCGTTTTGGCCAACGGTTGTCGGTTCTGCAATTAATATGGCCAGCCCACTGCCTGGGTTATTTACGAAGCTATTTTAAACAATACAGTATTATTCCTTATCCAATTAAATACGTTGTGCATTTAGTGTAAATCAAAATGCCCTTTACATTGCCCATAAAATGATTATCTTAGTAGATATCAAAGATTTAAAATTCGAGGGCAGAGCAGCCGTTGGGCTGTACGTCAGGCCCAGGTGGCAGCGGTAATTACCCCACGCTAACACCACATCTAAATTGCAGCGGTGTGAAGCCGGCGAGGGTCGCCAATTTTCTATAAAACAAAGTTGACCTATATATACGTACTGCGGCGTGGCTTCCGTCTAGTTTTATTTGTTAAGTGGCTATTTATTGTACAAATTGGTATATTCATCTAAATACAATTCCTAGGTTATAACAATTAATGATGATTCTATTAATAATATGTATGTATTTACAAATTAAAATGTATTTCAGTATAATAAATAAATAAAATAATAATAATAACCTCACACATCTCACACACGGCTGTCTGATCTCAAACTAGGCAGAGCCTGTGCTATGATAACTAGACTGCTGATAAACATACTTATATATTTTTAAAACATACATATTATGGATAAATTACACCCAGACACAGAACAAATGACCGTGTTCATCACACAATATTTGTCCTGGGTGGAAATCGAACCCACGACCTGCGGCTTAGCAGTCAGGGTCACTAACCACTAGACCAACAGAATGTGTATCTGTAAGGTGTAGATGGTGCTGTACAATCATATCTTTGAATATTATTAATATTATCGAACAATATCTTACCACCCTCCGAAACTGTAAGGTCTACAGTGGCTTCTAGCGGTTTGTCCACGGAAAACAGCATACGGTTCTCTCTCTCGGTAACCCTCAGTAAGAGAGAGTTGCCAAGACGTGATCCAAGGAAGAGGAAATCTTCTTCTATTACACACATCTAGAATAAGAGAAGGATAATGTAGTGTTGAAGAAGTATTTACCTTTAGTTGATATAGGTTTCAGCTACAATACAGTATTGCAGGAGCTCGAATTGATTTCGAATGTTTCGGGAAAATACTAACATACCAGAAAATTCTACGATGTTCTAAAAGTGTTCATAAATGGCCAAAGTCAAGCTAAGTCAATCAAGGTTATAATTCGATTTTTAGGAATCTTAACGAAACTTATGTATATGAAACGCTGAAAACTTGAATTCACACACACACACACACACACACACACGCACACGCACACGCACACGCACACGCACACGCACACGCACACGCACACGCACACGCACACGCACACGCACACGCACACGCACACGCACACACGCACACGCGCACACACACACACACACACACACACACACACACACACACACACACACACACACACACACACACACACACACACACACACACACACACACACACATCCTTTTGTAACAATAAAAATTATTATAATTCTATTAGACAAAGCTGAATTATGAAAAGGGACCTTGATCCGGTGAGATCACATTCGCGTTAAGAAAATAGTGACGCATCGATGAAACCGCGCGAGGTGTACGTACGCAGGTGGTGAGCACGGAGGCGGCGGCGCGGTCGAGGTGGAAGCTGCGCACCGTGCGCACGGAGTCGGCCAGTAGCGTCAGCACGTACAGCTGTCCGCCGCGCAGCGACAGCGCCAGCCGCGCCTCGCCCAGCCACGCCGCCACCGACCCGTCCAGCGTCACGCACACGCCCTCCTGGATACCTGCAGCCGTACCCACGCTCATAACACATGGAGGACCTCTCAGTATATTGAAAAAAAAAAAAGCCGACAGAGAGAAAAGGATACTGCTAATAGAGATGAATTCAAAATGATGAGTCTATTCTTTCAATCTCAACTTCATCCGTATTTATTCATCCGTCTCCCGAGCATATCAAGGCAATGAATCTGCTATTTTTAAGAAAATCGAGAAATTTGAATATAAACAATTATTTCAAAATGCCACTTTTATAGCTCTATTCAAAACTTTTCTTAAAACCGATAACTACTAAAATATTTACTTACGCAGTGGAAAATTAGTAGTATGTGTGGCAATACTGTTGAGTGACACTCCATAGGGAGGAACCGACTGGTTCAAGTATATCAGGGAATTCACAGCCATTATCAAACATCCACCTGTAAAAGAACAAAGAAACATCACCCTAAGGGAGCATCCACTAATCATTTAGACATGAGCGGCTATTTCCTCTCAGCTTCTGAAGTGTGATTTTTTATCTTTGTAACAAAACTTTTATTTTCAAAAGACAATTTTTAGTGAATTTATATAACACTTATTCTTCTTACTTCTTACAATAGACAACTCTTGCATTAGAAATATACCCTGCGTCGCCGGGATTTTACAAACAAAAATGAAAAGGACACAAAAAATACCCAGACTCAGAACAACAATTTGTGGATCACACAAAGTGTCGTCCCATGTGGGGTCGGACCCAAAACACTTAAACCATTGACCGCTTAAACCACTACGACATCCAATTAATTAGATTTTACTAAACCGCTCCCACTTTGTTTCCAGTAAACGTAATTAATGGATGCTCAACAACTCAAGTAGAAAAGCAATCAAGTTAAGTACATAAAAAAAATGTACTACGGTTTCAAGTAACTAGTCAAACAGCTTATCAATATACCTTTATTCCGCCCTAAAAACAGGGTTCAAAATGACTTGCATATATACCACGTATAGCTATTTTGAAACTTATATGAAAATGTGACAGAGTTCAAAATCGCACACACTTACCTAAAGGTTTCTGTACCGGCACAGCCCTCAAACAATCAAAAGGTAGATGCGCCGTCGCCCATATAACGGGATGCACTCTGGCGCTCATGTTTAAACTGACACCGCACATAGCGCATGTGTCGTTGCGGACGGCTGTGCGACTGAAATAAAAAAAAAAAATTACTTACACTGGAATTTAAAAATGGCAGCAAGTAGCCAGGTTTTTTGTTGGTAATACCAAAACTAGTATAGTACATAATATATCACATAACAATATAGAAAAAAGCTGGTGAAGTATTTATTTTAGCAAAAAACTGCAAAATTTCCGGCTGCAGCGAGGTTGAATTGCTATATATATATCTGAGAAGACTTAGTTTCTTTTAATAACTAGCACACGATTTTTGTAAGGGTCGTCAATTAATATTATTTAAATTAGTGGGTACTAGCGACACTAGCGGTCAAATTTTAATATCAATCTAGTAAAACTATATGCCCCCATTTATTTTACATTTAAATTCAATGTTCATTAACTACTCTATGATCGTAGTGATCTTGTAACTGGAATTTAGACTATTATACTTATCTTATCACAGAATATCTGGTTACCATAGCACAGACTCTACCTAGTTTACAATCAGAGATCAGGCCATGTGTGACAAGAGAGTAAGTTGGTAATATAACAATCATCATCATCATCAACAGCCTATACTAGTCCACTGCTGGACATAGGCCTCTCCTTAGAAAGGAGGTTTTGGCCTACTATACCACGCTGGCCAGACGGGTTGGTATAGGGTTTGTTTCAAGTTTTCCTTCTCTTTGCAGTGCTGTTGTCCTGCTTAGTTTGCTCCCTTAGTCGGCTCTTAATAATAATATCGATTGTAACTTACCCCGCAAATGTTCTGACTGGTTCATACAATATAAGCAAGGTAGGTTCATAGTAACCGTGTAGGAATTGTATATCTAGTATATTGTCAATCTTTTCATCCAAATCCTTGAGCACAATCACGTAAGAAGCCAGAGTGGGTGCACGATTGATCGGCTGAGTTGGTAGCTGTGTATAAATAAAAATATTGTTATAAGATTACCTTAAAGTAACTATGAACACCATGGTACATGAACGACTGACACACAGCAGTCACAAGTGCGGTGCCGATCTTTAAGTGTTCCCGTAACGGGGGAGGGGTCCCCAATAAGCTGGCAACAACGCGTGAGTAGCTAGCAACCCTAACCTATGTACGAAAATATCGAATGATAAATCACAGTTCACTGTGATTTTGTACCATGTCCATTCGGCATATAGGGTCTGACTAGACCGCAATTTTTTGTTGATTTTCACTGAGTGAATGAGTTAACCAGAGAAACAATCCCCAAACCCTTTACCCCATTACGGGAATACTTAAAAGAGTGGCATGTCTGATACCGAAGCATGCCTCTCCTACGGCAATCACGTAATTATATGTGGGGCTATTTTTCTTTTGGTTTTGTTATAGGTAGGCAAGCCTGTACCATCAAGCCGACATTACCATTAAACTTATCAAAAAGAATAATCATATAATGCCTCAGCTTATATTGGTTATTCAAATCATTGTTGTTGCGCCTAGACACAGGATTCAAGTATAATCTACCAATATAATCTAGGTTTTTGGGACCTTGGCTGGCTATTTTTAATCAGTTGCAGTATTTGTGTATATAGTACATATACACTAAACCAATCTAGTTTTTAAATCATTCTCTTTTTGTTTAGGCTGTAAAGAACCAATAGGTTTTTAAGTAATTAGTTTTGATAGGTGTGTAAATATAGTTCTTTTAGGACTTACTGTTTTCTTACTATCCAAAGGTTTAGCCTCTAATGGATCTCCTTCATCAGAAGCTAGGTCCTTCCTGAACGGGAGTACAGCTAGCTTTTTACCATATAGAAGCATTACAGCACACCTAGCTTCAGGATCCACCCGAATCCAGGGTATGTGAGGGTGAGTGGTCCAGCCATTCTGTTGAAGAAAAAATGACTTATTGAATACTTTTTCGAAATTATTAAACACAATGTAATGTAATACACGTGTTTTTATTGTGTCCAGCAGCCAGCCTGCCCTTGGGAATGTAATCATTTTCTAGTGGGGAACAAAATTAACTAAATTAGTGTAAAGGAAGCAGATAAAGTAATGATAAAGAGATGCTGCATCTGAGATGGAGAAATGCAACTCATTCTGTAGTAGCTCAAGCTATTAGATATTTCTGAACAAAACATTTACTCACTTAAAGGCACACAGGCTTCTATCCCGTCTTCTGTCTTTCTTTCTTTTTCTTAAATAAAACTCCCGCACTAGCAGTAAATCCTTTGTCGGGGGGGGCCTTACCAAACTTATACGAAACGGACCCAAAGTACATCATGACTCAGAACAACAATTTGTGGATCACACTAAGTGTCATCCCGTGTGGGGTTTGAACCCACAACACTCTGCACAGTAGGAATCGGAGTGGCGACCGCTTAAAATGTGCAGTCAATTGCTTAGTCACTTAAATGATTTAAATTTAACCATTAAACCACAAAGTTACAAAAAACTTAACAATCACTTTTAAACCCTTGGTCACCCTATTCTGAAGCGAAATTAAACAAAGTAGGTACCTTCATATCATCCTCTTCGAAGTAATGCATGCTTAATGTAATTAAATTGTTTGTCTGTGGATCATACTGTAGCACTGACAGCTTGGCTTCTTTGAATGACACCAACAATAGATCTCTGCCAAAACTCGGGCAGCGGACTGGCTCTATTGACATCACATTACCCCATAATGTGTAAGTGGCGAGGCATTCCAGTTTCATCTTTGGGGGTACAGGCTGACCAGCTGGAATGACGAAGAAGGGATGTTAGACAATTGGGCATCTTGCATAAATATCTATCTTATGCTAGGTAATGGTAGTAAACAAAATTGTGGTTTTTTTAGAGTCTTGTAATAAAAGTTCGGTCTCAATTCAGTTCCAAACAACTTTCAATCTCAGAACTGTCATACAAGGTATTTTCGTGGTAAAGTATTAAACATCCAACGTTGACTGTAATGTGATTACATTATAATAATAATAAAATTCTACCACATTCACACACCGTTATCTAGTCCCAAACTAAGCAGAGCTCGTACTATGGCTACTAGACAACTGATATAAATACATATATACTTTTTTTTGTAAATACATACATATTATTCATAGAAACAGCCAGACCAAATCAAACATTAAATGCTCATGCACACAAATGTTTGACTTGAGCGGGAATCGAATATTGTAATGTTACTGTAAATTGAATTGGTAATCTGCTAGTCTTAGTAATACTTTACAAGTTTACTATGAAAATACCTTTTTTGACAGTTGTCAGATTGAAAGTTGATCGGAACTGAATTGAGACCGAACTGTTGTTACGAAAGTTGGAATCTGATAACATGATTTGATTTTTTGTTCAATGATTTGGGACTCCTTGTGTGTGAGTCTAACTCGCAGTCATCTAGTTTTAGTATTTAATATTAATTGAATGAGTAAATATGTAGCCTATGTCCACCAGTGGACTAGTAAAAGCTGCAGATGATGATAAGGAAGAGTGAATATCTTTTAGTTTTTTACCATTTTTTATGAAAGTTAGACTTAACAACAGTGCAAATTACTGCAGATTTAGTTACCTAACCTGAAGTTACTGCAATAACTCATAATTATCATCATCAACAGCCTTTAGTAGTCCACTGGTGGACATAAACCCGTCCCTTGAAAGGAGCTTTCGGCCTACTTTACCACACCGGTCAGACAGTTTGATACAGGGTTTGTGTCAAGTTTTACTTCTCTTTGCAGTGTTGTTGCAGTGAAACCCCTATTCACTGCACACAATGACACTCCGTATTCTTAACCTGGAATAAAGCTATTTTCAAGAATTGATAGGCAACTTACCGGCGTTAACCTCTTTCGTGTGCCCTTCAGGCAATAGCCTGAACACCTTAATAATATTCGCTCCAGCCGTAACCAAGCATGTCTCATCATTGTTAAAGAAGCAGCAGCTCACGGCGTGCTCGATTCCTGTCGCAGGATGAGTTTGACGACAAATGGAAAACATTTCTAACGATTAATGACCACTTTTTAGGTTATGTTATGAAAACAACCGTAAACCTCAAATAGTTATAATTATTATTATAGATATACTTAAACAATAATATTGAGTTAGATTTTCACATAATTAAACACAGTAAATATTGTATTTTGCACACATTCTTTCTTCTTTATATATTTAGCAGTATTTGGCAATTGTTTGTGATACACAGTGGCGTCGCTTGACACTTCAGCAAAATAAAACACGTTCTGAAACTAACCTCCTTAATAAACGTACTGCTTTTTTTTCAATGTTCGTTCTCCATATTATTTGACCCTTTTTCAAAAATCACTACCTACTTAAGTTAACATTTCAGAAACATTTTATTTTTTGTTCTTTTTATATTAAATTATTTTGTGCTTTGGAACGCATGTGTTGGATGTTTTTAACCCACGACACAAATAAATTTGATAAAAAGCGTTGGGTGCCTGTTGTCAATAGTAAAAAGCACCCCACGCTTTTTTTCAAATTTATTTTCTATTTTTTAGTTTGGTTTTCTATAGAAAGCGTGTTTTTTAGTTTTTTTAAACTATAATTTATTTTTATTTTTTAAATTAGTGTATTGTCATCGGTCCTCGATATATCTACAAAGTTTGAACGAATTCTGACCGTTTAAAGTCAGTCAAAATCACGCCCAAAGGAGTCGATTACAAACATACAAACAACCATTCAAGTGAAGCTAATATAAAGCGTGTAAAAAGAGGTGTTATTGAATTAATAGGATCCAAACGGGTGAGTTGATTTTCCAGCTTAACTGTTTCTTACCGTCATATTTTAGCTCTGGTAGAGAAAATCTCACTAAATCTCATAGAGCAGTTCTTTTGTTTTATTATAATATTTTTCTTCTTCAACAAAACATTTTTCATTTCAAATGTTTGTTCTTCATGTTACAAGTCAGTACATTTCATTAATTAATCCCTTTTATTTCTGTGCGGAAATCCCCTCGGATACCACCCACCGGTGGGATGGTTATGTCGGACTCGAACCGACCAAAAACCGCACGCCGTCTCGGGTTCCAGTTGCCGGGAGACCAGGTGTACCCTAGAAAGGAATTCCGTGGTTTATTAACCCCTTATTTTCAAAAAGAAGAGTGTAAAAAGTTTGACGTGTCTGTGTGTCTGTCTGTGCACCTATGTGTGGTCTATCCATGATATAGTAACCCTCACTTGATGCTGCAGCCGAACCTTGGGTTGATGATGGTGTCAGGATGTTCTACATTTGCGATTGGTGTTATTGTCATGTGTGCTGATAAACCCCAACCTGACCCGGGCCTGGTAAGCACATTGATACATAACTCTTGAATATTTATTGAATAAGCTTGAATTACTGACCATGATTGAAATAAAGAATTACATGGAACAGTACGAATATGTAACGTTTTTTCAAAGGTTTAAGCTTATTTATCTGAGAATGTTACTCAATATGTTCAGTATTGTAAGCCCCTAATCTTTAAAAGTATTTACAAACAGTAGATGACATTAATTAGCAATTACACTTAAAGGGATTTATATCCATCTAATAGCCATACCATCAGTGTCATGCTATCATATCAGTCCATGTGGTGTCGGATTAAGAATACGCAGCGTTAATAACCGTACCCACATTCATCCCGTGGGTATCGTGAGGACCGACCAAGGGAGCAAACCTTGCAAGACAAGCTATCGCTTATAATAATAATATAGTAAAACTAAAGTTACAGAAAAGCTACCATACTAAAAATTGATACTCTCACAGCGTATCTATTGCCGCCATCACAATGAAAAAAAGTGTTTTTTTTCTTAATTACCATATTTTACTTATCTTATACCGTCCGTGTGGTGGCGGATTTGGAATACGGAGTGCCACCACCCCTATTCATGCCGTGGGTGTCGTAAGAGGCGACCAAGGGAACTAACGTAGGACAACCAGCACGGCAAAGAGAAGGAAAACTTGACACAAACCCTATACCAACCCGTCTGGCCAGCGTGGTATAGTAGGCCAAAACCTCCTTTCTAAGGAGAGGCCTATGTCCAGCAGTGGACTATTAAAGGCTGTTGATGTGATGATGATGACTTATCTTATAAACTTGAACCCTATAGTTTTGCCCTACTATACCACGCTGACCAAGCGGGTTGATAGTAGGGCAAAACCTCCTTTCTAAATCCAGTAGTGGCAAAATAAAGGCTGTTGATTGATTGATGTATATAGAGGTAGCCGGACCAGAAGTTGGGCCAGCACCAGCAATTGGTTTTGACCTCGGACTTTTGTTACGATTAATGAATTTATATAGCCGAGCGGGGGTTTTGTCTTCTATACTTACTTTAAAGTGTACAGTTGAACCACTTTTTTGCACTTTTATTTATACGAGTATAAATAAAAAATGCTGCAAATGCTGGAGCGTAAGAAGGTTCATACTCGTAGCTACTATAGACTTTGTTATAGTTTCAAAGATATTGACGTCCTGGTTATATTAACGGCATTAGTGAATGAGGATAGTGAAATATAATTCTTAAACTTGAATTACCAAAAATATTTAAAAATATATTTCAAGCGGGCGCAGCATGTATTTTGGGTTTATATGGAGCTGCAGCAAAAATTAAAGATTTGTACCATAGAAATATAACCATAGAGGGTCGAAATTTGTTGAACAGCTTCCAATCGGCCCGCGTATGAAGGTGAATTATTGGAAGCAGTGCGAACAATATACCAAACAGGGTAGGTGCCAGAACGCAGCCCTGTCGGACACCTCTGCGCACGTCAAACGTTTCCGATGTACAGCCGCCAAACAAAAGACTACCCTTCATGTCTTCGTGAAAACATTTTACGAGGCTCAGTAAGAGGGTACGACAACCAAATCGCTCGAGTATTGTGTAGAGTCCTTGCGGCTGCGGACTCTACGTAGCGAAAATAGTGGTCTTAATACTCCACCGATCATTGAAGTGAGTGAAGTCGAAGAAAATACTTAACACAGACATCATCAACAGCCTATAATAGTCCACTGCTGGAAATAAGCCTCTCCTTAGAAAGGAGGTTTTGGCCTACTTTACCACACTGGCCAGACGGTTTGCTATAGGGTTTGTTTCAAGTTTTCCTACTCTTTGCAGTGCTGATGTCCTGCGTAATTTGCTCCCTAAGTCGCAAGTACACTGACACAGTGAACACATGACCTCTATATGACGTCATAGATAGGTCATAGACTGATAATTTTTACATCAATATGATACAATAATAGACATGACCAAAGGCTATGATAAAGTGCAATACAAAATGCTCTCACAAAAACTACACGGGATCCGTGGTAGGGCCCACGACTGGTTTATATCATACCTGAGAGATAGAAAACACCAAGTAGAAATAAAATTCTTCAATTATAATACATCTGAAATTCAAAACATCCGTTCAAGCAAAAAAAATATTAATGCTTCAATACCCCAAGGTAGTGTAATCGGTTGCCTACTTTTTCTTATATATATCAATGATCTCCCAAAAACCTCCAACCAAGATGGACCTTGCGTATTGTTTGCAGACGACATCTCGCTCCTCACCTCGTGCTAGAATATTACCAATTTAGACAAAAAATTAACCAAAACATTAGACAAAACCGTAAGTTGGATGAAAAACCATAACCTCGAAAAAAACTTTTCCAAAACTAAAATTATGTCCTTCCAACCTAATCAAAAATCCCCATTAGATATAAACTTTACATATAATAGTTCAAAAATAGAAGTAGTCCCCGAATTTACCCTATTAGGCCTGTCAATTGACACACACATCAATTTGAAATCTCACATAACGAAATTAAGATCTAAAATCTCTAAGTTCACATAATATATGCCTTACGCGAAGTTAAAAAGACCACCGACCTTCAAACAGCTCTCACCACTTATTACGCATACGCTTATTCCTGGTTTAGTTACGGCATCATATTATGGGGTAACAGCACAGATGCTCCAACACTCTTCACACTTCAAAAAAAACTAATTAGAATTCTGGTCAATATAGAGGACACCGATAGCTGTAAACCATACTTTAGAGAACACAACATTCTAACACTGCCATCAATTTATATTTTGGAAATATGAAAATTCGTACGAAAAAATCAACATCTGTTTACAAAAAGAGAGGATAAACAAAAAAAACTACACACTACGCCATAAGACTAGACTAAACCTACCCTCATCCCGACTCCAAATCCATTCAAATAGCACTCAAGTAATGTCGATCAAAATTTACAATAAATTACCCGAAGAAATTAGAAATGAAACCATATTAAATATATATTTATATAAATTCAAACAATTATTACTACAAAAATGCTATTACAGCGTCAATGAATATCTGAGCAATCAATAAATTAAGCATGTACATAAAAAAACTGAAGTATGATTATTGTTATTAGTTTGTATTATCTGTCCCTCTCTCATCTATTGCTGTGCCCGACAGGGTCCATGATGATCTGATCTTATATTTGAGTACCATCTAAGTAAACATTGTGGAATGCAATAAATATATTGAGTATTGAATATAATGACTTTATTTATGACCTAAATATGATGTCAAATAATGTGACATCATTATGACTTAGAACTGACTCAAATTTGACTTTTATATGACCTCATGATTTTTTATGGCATAAGGGGGCAAACGAGCAGACGGGTCACCTGATGGTAAGCAACTACCGCCGCCCATGGACACCTACAACTTAAAAATCACAAGTGCATTGCTGCCCTTGGAGTCCCTGAATAACTAAGAGTGGTTATGACAACTAGGTCTTGACTCGATAGATGGCGTGCTATCATTTTTTTTGTATATATAGTGATATGGTTTTTTGGTTACCCATGCAGGTTTGTTACGATGCTCTTATAACGTTTGGAAGGTATATTATAATCAGTTAAATTTTTAAGATAGACATATTCAAAGAGCTAGATCGAGGAATTTATGACAAAGTTCCAAGAAAAAAAAACTATCAAGTAGTGGCGTAGTTAGGCGTGGGCGAATTGGGACCCACGGCCTCGCACTTGTGTGACTAATTAATTTGAACAAATTTAGGCCTCCTAAGAAGCCCCATCTTAATTGCGACTGCGAGGCCACTGTGACTACCTTTAAAGACCGCGACCATTAGATTGACGGAATACGAGACTGGTCAGGTATTAATAGCTGAGCTATCGTGAATTTTTTGGGCCCTGGACCACTGCTAATTTGGGGTGTTTTTTGTTGGCGGGGTGGAAAATCCCTTTGGATCTGAATCTGATTTAGCCTTTGGGCCGTAGGTGTATGTGGTATTTCCTCTAAAAACCCGCCCGACGTCCTGCCACAAGCGCTAAACTTACGGAGAACCTGGACGATGTCCCTCCCAGATCAATCCCGGGAGAAGCCACAGCCTTTCGCCGCCCTTTTGTAGTGATCTGTGAGTACTTGAATTTGATTGATTTTTTTCATGGCAGGGCTAACGAACAAAAAGGGCATTTGATGTTAAACCGAGTCACAAAAGGTTTAATTGGCCCATACGTGCAGAAACATGACTCTACCACGATTTCTGGGTCCTCGCAAAACATCCTTAACTTCTTTTTTAGTATTAGCAATAGAAATAACTTTAGAAACTAGAAATATGAACAGTAATATAATGAACATATCAGTTATAAAAGGAGGAACATTCACCTTAGTTATTAGGGATGGTTATGGCGTATTATTGGTATTATATTCCTTACGAGAGGATCGAACTTATAAAAAATTAAGAGGAAAAATAATACTGAGAATTATATGAAAAATGTTTATTTTTTGTTCTATAGCTTATTTTAAGACATAAAAACCAAAACTAATCCGTTTCGGTAAAGTAAAACATGCATGTAACATTAAAATAACCATGATGTTACTAAATATATATAGGTTTATATTAAAATTAAAATAAAATATCAAAATAATTTTGCCTCCAAAACCTGGATGATTCTTAGTGCTCTTTATTTTTGGGTTAGCAACACCAACATCTTAACTTTATCTTAGAATTAACTGGCATTTAAGTCCTTGCTATTATGTCATGTGGTTGAATTAAATAATACATTATTTTAGAATGATTATATTTTAGAAAAAAAAAGGATTAAAAAGAACGAATGTTCACCCACTTGTATGTAGTCTCAGTTCTACTTCTGTCAACTAATAACACTGCCTACAGCCTGCCTAACTGCTATTGGAATTTTTGTCATTTTTTTTTAGGTCTGTTACCGAGTTGATCGATTGGATATCTTTAGTTTCTACTTTCTCGCTAACTATTTAGCAAAAACCTGCATAAAGATTGTCGAAATTCCTATCTCACCTTACATGGCTCTTCCAACTCTGATAAACGACAGAAAAGAATGGTAACTTTATTGTGCCTTGTCTAAACGAGATTTTCTGCTTTGCCTTATCTTCTCCATATTTGGTACTCCGAATTAAAAAAATTATCCACACAATAACAGAAACTTGTCATGATATATAAATTTCAGGTATAACTGGAATCACCTCTTAGTAAGTAAAATAAATAGAAGGCAAGAAAAGACAAAAATCATTATATTAATAAACACAATATTGGATCATAAAACACACACAAAAGTACAAGGATACACAAGCACCTACAAAGTGCGGCGAAATTATTGAAAGGCAACGAATTTCATACAATATTGACGAGCTCACTAGTATTTTAAAATTAAAACTACCGTGAGTGATATCTTCAATAAAGAAATGTGGCTTAATTTTCTTGCTTACTTGCGGGCCCTACATTCCGTGTCAGGCAGCACAGCTCAGTGCTGACACCTATGCGGCAGGTAGCTAGACCCTCCGCTGTCAGACCCAAAGCTAATTGAGCATCACAAAAATAAGAGTAAAAAATCTTGGTTAAATTTTTTCTAAAGAATTTGACTACAAATAATTTTAACACAGCCATTTTGCCTCTATTTAGCGGTGTGAAGTGAATGCTTTGTTTACGCTCTGTAGTATACATGTTAAATTATGTCAAGTTATGTTAAAAACAAAGCTTACCGAAAGCGCATTGGATTTATTTTTCCTTTTTAAATAATTCCCGCCTGCAGAGCCAGATAGAGATACATTTTGCTAGCTGTGTTTTTAGTCCCACCTACCGGGAACATTTTAGTCAGTACTGCTGTTGACAATTTCTCGGCAAACTATACCTGGAATTTTTCCTTACCCGGTAATCGAATCCAGACTTAGCAAGCTAGTCGAAGGTAGTCCCGCTTAGTCTTGTGAAGAAATATAACTTTGGTTTATAGTTTGGTCAACACAAACAAAAATTACATCAAATATTACCTATGTGATTTATTTAACTACCCATTATATTACAGAGACATCGAAATTGAAACTCTCGTAAAATTAACAGGATCTAGTAATGAATTTCGAGAGAGTCCAGTTATTGTACTATTTACAGCATTACTCTAAACACATCATCACATTAATATAATTAATCTAAGCTACATAGTTTCTTTTAACATATGACCATTCCATGCAAAACCTTACACTGCCTTACGCAGTTCTCGTAAAAACTAAAACATCATCAAGAAAAATCAGTCTTCAACCATCACCATTCCTGTTCCCTTATTTATTCCATTCAGCAGACCGACACATATCAGCGAGCAATTCATCAAATTCTGAAACAGAACTTTCATATAGCTCCAAGTCTTTAGATAGATCCTCGTTCGTCAATTCAGTTTCATCTACCGATTGTGAACGAGACCAGCAAAGATCGTCAGACAACTTTAAGTGTGGGGCATTAAAAAAATCTTTATAAAACTCAGCCAATTCTCTTATTGGGTGATCATCAGCAAATGGAAATTGTAATAATTTCAAAGGAGGTTCATTCTCGTTGCGAAAACCTGAAAATTTCTTCGGTGGCATTTCTAAAGATGTAGGACTCTTGGACGAAATAGTTTTATCTAATTCTTGAGTACTTTTGAACTCAGACGGATTAGTTTGTAAAATAGCTTCAGGTCTATGCCTACACTTTGGTATAGGCATTTTCATGAAGAAATCTTGGATTGCTTGTTTGATAATGTCTTCGTCAGCAAATGCGGGCAATCTTAATGGTCGGTTCAAGTCCATGGGTTGTAGAGGTTTTAGTTCTCGCTCTTTTTGCCATGTTTTTTTCTTTGATTCGAATATCACATGTTTCGGGCTTAGTTCAAAGTGATCGCTTTTCAGTAAAAGTGTATTCTCATCTCGTGTTCTATTTGGAGTTATAGAAAAATTTGTTCTGTACACAACCGAAAAGCATATCGCCCCTAAAGGAGTCTTTAACATACCTGCCTGAATTTTCTTAACAGATTCTCCTAAGGATCTCGATTTAGGCTCGCCATTGTATACTCTGTAGAAAACTATGAATGATTCGCTTCTCTGTTTTCTAGACAAATGATATGCAGGTGTTATTCGACTTATAGTGATTAGAGACTTGAGTAATATTCCCATGCGGAAATAGACTGTGTTCATTGCCTTTAGAGATGTATCGAATTGCGTTTCATCCAGTTCAAGAGTCCATAGTTCAAGAACCATTTCATCTCCATCCTCGGTCTGCACAGTAATCTCTACGTGAAGCTTAGATCGAATAGTTTCTAAGACTCTATCAGAAGGTAGCGCATTCTTGGTAGCTTGGTTTACTTCGGGAATATCAGGTATTTGGAGATTAAACCAATCAGAATCTGACGTCTGCGATTGACTATTACGCACAATTTTTAGACCTCTCCTAGATTCAACAATGACTTGGACGCTTTTGTAAGCTAAGAATTTGATGAACTTAGTGAATTCATTTTTATCGTTTATGTTGGAGAACGCGGCGTCGGGTGCCATATTGACTTTATTCTTCGTCAGCGATGCAGTTTTCGACAAGGTTTCTCAAATTCGGATTCTCCATAGCTGCCGCGATCCTCTCTTTGTCGTTGATCTGTTTGTTGACTGAAACAATGTAAAAAATCACAATTATTTGCCGAGAAGTGAGTAATAAAAGTAAAAGATCGTACAGGACCCTCAAGGCGCGAGTCAGAAATACTTGTTCAGTTTCATCCACAGTAGCACTACATTTGAGGTGTCTAAATTTTCAGAAAATATTCCACATTTGACAAAGTTAACCTTAATCCTGATATCATACTAATTAAGAAAAATATTTATCATATAAGCAATCTCCAAAATAGACACAAGGTTATCGCTACGTAAACAAAATGACTGCCTGGCTAAGTATCTCTTTGTTTTGTCCCAAGACTAATTACCAATTCGTCAACGATAGTGCACTATGCCATTTATCTTAATTTCTGTCACTCACGACTCAATGAAGGTACGTATTGTGACGTGATAGTTATTATTGTATTTGTTATTTATTTTTGTTAATTTTATCTCAACGAGCATCATTGCGAATTTTGCGCAAATTAGTGAAACCGTCTCGGCACTTGTGTGGGAACTCACGCGATCAAAGCACATGTGACTAAAATAATAACAAAAGTTCACACATCAGAGTATTCTATGGTAACCAAAGTGCTGATAAACATATTTAAGTATTCATCAATCATCAACAGTCTTTAATAGTCCACTGCTGGACATAGGCCTCTCATTAGGTTTTGGCCTACTATACCACGCTGGCCAGACGGGTTGGTATAGGGTTTGTGTCAAGTTTTCCTTCTCTTTGCAGTGCTGTTGTCCTGCGTAGTTTGTGCCCTTAGTCGGCTCTTACGACACCACCGGGATGAGTCCCGAACAGCAAAGTAAAACAATTTTAAATTATGCGAAAACAAAAACAAAAGAAAATTCTTTGTCATTATATTGCACGGATGGCATAGTGGTTTAGCGGTCGCCACGCCGCTTACTACTACGCTGAGTGTTGTTTCTATTCCTAGTGCGGGAGTTGTCTTTTTTTTGCAAAAAGATATTGTGTATGTAGCAAAACACGGACAAAGAGTCGAGCTTTGACTAAAACGCAGGTGAAACTGCGGGAGAGTGCTAGTTATAGATAAATTACATCCAGAAACAGAACAAACGACTCATCGTACTCATCACAATATATTTGGACTAGGTGGGAATCGAACTCACGACCTCTGGCAGCAGTCAGGGTCAGAAACCACTAGACTAACATAAGTTTTGAATGGCCTTGGAAGATATAAATCACCAAAATTATGATTAACGTAACTTTTACCGTTTTTATCGTAATTTTGGATTGCTTACACCTTTTCTCAACAGAAAAATTTCCTAGTTTGCTTCAATATGAGCTCGAGCCTCAGAACTCGATAATAAGAGAGTAAAAGGGCTAGAGAGACGAAAAAAGTCAAGCACTGGCGAGGGACTTAATAAAACCAGTGCTGGCATACACCAAGTACAGTAAAAATAACTTTTTAAAAAATATAACGATTTCAATGCGCTTACATCATGTTATAAACTGTATTTTTCATTTCTTGATTTTCCACCTTTGAATAGGACCAATAGCTATGGAAAGGACTATGCTCGGCGTTTTTCTAAGGAATTGCACCAGGAATGAGGTGATCCGGCAGAGAATCAAGGCCACCGACATATCCTACCGGATCAGCAAGCTGAAGTGGCAGTGGGCTGGCCATATAGGCGGCAGAACCGACAACCGTTGTGGAACGAGTTCTTGAGTGGAGACCGCATCTCGGCAAAAGTAGTGTAGGACGCCCACAGGCCAGGTGAAGTGACAATTTGCGCAAGATGGCTGGCAGGAGCTGGATGCGAAAAGCCCAAAATCGATATTAGTGGTACGGGAGAGGCCTATATTCAGTAGTGGACTGCGATAGGCTGATGATGATGAAATAGGACCAAACGGACAGTATGGAGGGTATACTGTCCGTATTAAAAAAAAAAAAGAGTTTTTGAATCAGTTCATGAACGACAGAGTTCTGAGGTAAAAAACAAAAAATATGCAACTGAGTTTTTTCGGAGTCGGTTACAAAGTATAATCAACTCTAAATGTACTGTTACGGTATCAATGTTTATTTTCGTACTGCTGTTATCTCAGTAGATAACTGAATAGATAATTACAATAACAAGTTATTGGTTTGAACGAGCACTTGTAAAAATAAATGGATAGGTATTATGTAATATAACAGCCTTGTTTTAGGGCCACTGATAGGCAAAGATCTGTCGCCTAACGTTGTTAACATTCATAAAACTTCTAGAATGTGTAGATTCCGTGTGGTGACGGATTAAGAATACAAAGTGTCACCACCCCTATTCATTTCGTGGGTGTCGTGAGAGCCGACTAAGGTAAAAAAAAACAGCAGAACACCACCACTGCAAAGAGAAGGAAAACTTGACACAAAACCCTATACCCACCCGTCTGGCTAGCGTGGTATACTCGTAGTAGGCCAAAACCTCCTTTCTAAGGAAAGGCTTATGTCCAGCAGTGGACTGTTCAAGGCTGTTGATGATGTTTATGATGATGATTGGGTAGAAGGAATCCTAATCATCACGAAGATATAATTTTAAAATTGGCCTTCGGTGAATGTCGGCTAGAACCATGATATCACGGCCTCGCAGAAAACTGATCTTAAGCAATTCCTTCTTTGCCTTTTACGAGTGAGGATAGCGGAGACTCATCATTTTCAACAGCTTTTAATAATCCACTGCTGGACATAGGCCTCTCCATGGAAAGCAGGGACTCAAGCTCTAGAAATATATCCTCTGTCGCAGGGGACTTAACATACATGAAACTGACACAAAGAACACCCATACTCAAAACAACAATTCGTGGATCACACAGTGTTGCCCTATGTGGGGATCACACCCACAACATTCAGCGCTGTACGAAGCGGCGAGGTGACCGCTTAAATCATAATTACAGTCATAAATTCTTCTAAGCAAACGTTCCAGAACGCATCACCAAAATTATTTTTCTTGCTCTAAATCACGCAGTTAATCAGTGTACCAAGTGTTTAATAGACAAAAAATTGTACATGTGTGTATTTTATCTACACGTATTTGGAATATTCGAGATGATAATAATATTTACACAATCGATTTTCGACCCTAATTAATTACTGTATTGGTTCTGTTTAATAAATAAATTGACCAGTACAACTTGAACGGCCGTGCACCATGACAGAACAACTGCTGGAACATTGGACGTAGTTGCTTTCACGTAATATGTAAATATGTCACAAATATTAAAGTGTAAAAATTTAAGATGTTCCCCTACTCCTAATTTTTTCAAGGCATACGAGGACAAGCAAGCAGAAGGGTCCCCCCCGATGGTAAGTAACTACCATCGTCCATGGACATCTACAACTGTAAGGTGTATTGCCGGCATTTTATTCCTCCCCACAGAAATAGGAGGGGCTCGGGCTCCGGTAACCTCACTCATTCGGTGAAAAGCACCTAAAGAATTGCTGTGAGTGTGAGGCGACCTGACTGCTCGTTTGGCCATTATTCCATAAAATATAGTATATACCCTCACACTCCACCGTTGGCGTTCTCTTCACATATTATGCAACAGATACGCGACAGCTGAATAAACAAAACAATTAATGAACCGTAAGTACTGTAATGGGAGGGGCCTATGTCCAGCAGTGGACTGCAATAGGCTGATGATGATGATGATGAAGTACTGTATTTAAAGTTACATGTTTTTAAAGCATATGATTATTAATAATTATAGCATATTATTATGAAGCATAGATTTATCTGGAACTTTTTAACCGACTTAAAAAAAAAGAGATTATCATTTCCGTTGTAATTACTTTTTTTTATTTAAAAGGATTCAAAGGATTTCTCATTGAAAATAATTCCAACTTCAAGGACGAAAATGAAGGAATGAAAGATACTTTATTTTACAATTCATCATGATAAAGGTCTTTCTGGTCAATGATAATATTGTGGAGGAACGGGTGTCATGTCCCTCCAACACAAAGGGAGGATCCTCCGACCAGGCGAGGTGATCATGCCTGGCGGGCCGCGGCCCAACGGTTGATGTTGGGCAGTTGTATATATGCTAATCGGCGAGGGAATTCTTTATATCGCGATACTTTAAAATATAATATTTAAAATGTAATTTCCAAATTAATCTTAAGTGATTTTTCATTGACGGCGCTGTCCAGTTATTAAAAAGTATATAAATTGTTTTTAGCAGCAATCTGGTTACCATTGTACTCGCACACTCAGATTAAATCTGCCCTTACTTAAATAATGCAATCAGTGCGAAATTGAGTCTTTAAACAACCTAATTATTAAAAAAAAAAACACAAAACCTGCATGAAAATGTATAGGTACTTTTATTTTTGTATACCCTGTTTCCCAGTTTCCGTGCGTTTAGGCTATTCTGCCACACATATTTACCCGTAATATTCTGTGGCCGTGGTGCTTCCCTGTTTAAAAGCGTGTATGTTTAAACGACTGACAAACTTTGTGCCTTCATTCGCTAACATGTGGGGCAGTGACTTGGCGTAACTCAGTTAGCTGAAGTATCAACTGGCTGATTAAGTGACTTGCGTTTATGCCGCAGCTGATTTTGTCAAAGCAAATCCCCTGTCAAATTTTTGCATTGGGAGTTTTAAATTAATAACTGGCTATGTGATATTTACTTCATTTTGTCCCCCGCTTTACAAAGAGGGAAGTGGATTTATTATATTTCCAACTTCTCTAATTTTCTTCTGATTAATTTTATTGTGGGTTCCAAGGCAGTTTAATTGTTTCCTGGGATTTTCCGAGTATCATAACTCTGTGTGTTCGTGGGTCACTGCTGTTGATCCTGGTGTACAGGAGTTACAGTAATGTGCGTGTGGGAGGGATTTGTTCCAAATACCCTGGGACACTCAGACAATTCACACATTCATAATCCCACAAAGCACAATTCTTACGATACCCCTCAAGCCAAAACTCCATCACGGCGTTTAAACTTGTGTGTGCGTGTGACAAAGGAATATACATACAAACACTGAAAAAACATAGCCCTTCCTCTTTTACAGTCAGGTGAAAAAGAATACATGGAAGAATATTAATACTGCTTTTAACCTACATACTTTTCTAACTCATAATTTGTTCCTGTGTCCAAAACAGGGTTTTAGAGTACCTTCGTTTTTTACAATCAGTTTACAAGTTAGTTTACAATTAGTTACAATTTTCCTCGATTAAAGAGCAAGCGTGGTCGTCAAGGGCAAATTGTGGCATCCGCAAGACGTGGAGCGAAGTTAAGCACGAGGCTCGTAACTTGTCAAGATGGAGACTTGATGTGGACGTGCTCTGCCCATCCAGGGGACGTACGACATTAAAAAAGAAGTTCCAGGAATTTTGATTAACGACAATTTCATTCTCATGGTGTTATTTGTTTTACTTAATTGTTCTCTAAAATGTAAGATTTTTTATAACTTCTAGCTACTAGTCGAAATTCAGAAATAATAATAATATATCACACACGGCCGTCTGATCCCAAACTAGGCAGAACATGTACTATGGTGACCAGACTGCTAATAAACATACTTATATTTTTTAAATACATACATATTATAGATAAATGGCACCCCAGACACAGAACAAATGACCGTTCTCATCACACAATATTTGTCCTGGGTGGGAATCGAATCCACGACCTCTGGCTTAGCAGTCAGGGTCACTAACCACTAGACCATCGGCGAAATCATATTATTGGCGTTTGCCGACAGCTTTTCACTCGCTTATGTCGAACAGACATGTTGTTTTGGAATGTCAACCCCATTCCAAAACTACATGTCTATTACTAGGTGTAAATAGAAAAATACTCTAAAAAAAACGATAGTCGAAAGCAAAAAATAGCCCTACACAAATTCGGTTCGGCCGGATTCAGGCGGATCGTTACCTACGCAGCTGTGCAAAGTATTGGAAAAAACCGAACGAACCTACGACAAAAAAATGGCCGTCAATGTTCGTACTTTCTACCTGCTCATACTTTGCTACCTGTGTGAGCAGTCTTTGTTATTTAGATCGTGTTCTGCAGAAAGGATCCAATCGACAAATTGACCGATTGGTGCTAAACTATCAAAAATTATATGTCTGCTAATATTATACAGGGACTGGGAGACTGGCCTGTGCCATTAATTCCGCCATTGTATAATTAACAAATAAATCATAAATGTGAAAGTTTGGATTGAAGGACATATGTTTGTAATTTAATAACGGCCGAACGGCTAAACGGAATTGATGAAATTTTGTACAGGGACATGGCTTTAATTTTATGATAAATGATCCGATCTGATGATGAATCTGAATTAACAATAAAATTAAATTTTCTTAGAGGAAAAAAAATGAAACCATATTTTGACTGCTGAAGGAACTATCTCTCTTTGGTCGGTCCCTTATATTTGAGGATCGTGGTCAGCCTGATAGTTGCATGTAGACGGGATCATGATGTGTTCATCTTGTAAGTGTACAACCATGACATCTCTTGCCTTCGGTGTGACACACCATGGCAAAAAAATTGCCAGTTTTTTATTGTGTACTTAGAGTTAATCATTGGATTGATTAAACTTTGCTTTTAAAAATACTGCAAGTAATAATGAGGTCGCTTTATATAGGTTTATTCAGTATGTAAAATATTGTGTAAGGAAATATTAAAAAGTTTGAGAAAAGCAATGTGTTTGACATGAATAGAAAATTATGGCTGTGAAAGTACAAAGACCATTGTTAAAACCTAACAAAGGGTACCTACACTCCCCTTGTTACATACACATCTCTAGATGATGTTTCAACAAAGAAACTTTACTTTTTATGAATTCAATTAAGTTAGTTATATTAAACAGTAGATATATTTTGAAAACTTTTAAGTATTCTAATGAAAAATTGTTTCGAACTTCAATACATACAGATAATTAAATGAGTTAAAAGAAATGAAAATACACAAAAAAAAAGTAGAGTGGAAGGCAAACATCTTCCACTGTATTTTCATTTTCAGTTTATGGACAAATCAGAACTCAATTTAAATAAGGGACAGTTTCCTCACCAGACAAGCAGTTCTCCTCTTAATAAAACTTAATTTATCATTTATAAAAACAAATTGGAAGAACTGATTTTAAAAACAAACAGCCTATTAATTTACTTATCTAAAATTGTGTCTCAAAGGTTGTCTTAACACGATAAAACATATATTTGCTCACATTTATATAAAATTTAAACAGCTCAAGTGCAATGTCCTGATAAACCAAATCCTCTTTTATGAATTTGAAACCCAATAAAGACCTATATGACCAGCTTTATGGAAAATACAATATTATTTAGAATGTCCGTGTGGTGACGGATTAAGAATACAGTGTCACCCGTGGGTGTCGTAAGAGCCGATTAAGGGAAAAAACTATGCAGAACAACAGCACTGCAGAGAGAAGGAAAACTTGACACAAACCCTATACCAACCCGTCTGGCCAGCGTGGTATAGTAGGCCAAAACCTCCTTTCTAAGGAGAGGCTTATGTCCAGCAGTGGACTGTCAGGGGCTGTTGATGATGGTGATGATGATGATTTAGAATGTCATTGCATACTAATAATAATAATTATAAATATCATCAAACAAAGTGGTTATCAAGTTCTTAGTGATCCTGGGAATTAAGCCAGAGGTTCTGGCACTGATATTGATACAAGGAGAAATAATTTTGTGTTATCATTTGTACTGTATCTGGGATTTATTTATCACTAGCTGAGACCCGCAATGTTACCCGCGTTTGTTGTTATAACCGCGGGCAACGCTGTGGGCGAAGCTAGTCTAAAAAAAGTAGCCTAAGTTACTCCTTCTGTCATCAGCTATCTGCCAGTGAAAGTCCCGTCGAAATCGGTCCAGCCGTTCCAGAGATTACAGGGAACAAACAGACAGATAGACAGACAGACAAAAATTGTAAAAAATGATATTTTGACATATGTATTGTGTAAACATACATATATATTGTGTAAACATACATAACATATACATACATATAAAAAGCGGTTATTTTAATATTACAAACAGACACTCCAATTTTATTTATTTGTATAGAAGATGTGATATTAGTAGCATTCTATAGGTATATCAGTGATTACCATGTCAATAATAACTAAAACTAACCATATAAATAATACTAAATTAATTAGTTATACCTAAGTTATTTAAATCATACAGCCTTTTGTGCAGTCTCATGTTTGTTGTAGTCAATTTTGTTTGTAGCATTGTCAAATAAATCAAATAATAATAATAAACTAACTCATCTCTGAGTCTGCACTATGGTAACTAGACTGCTAGTAAATAAAATTGTTCATACATAAACATTGATATATTACACAGAACAAATGATAATTTATATGATATATAATTATCAATGATTTTAATAAGGCCATAAAAAAGCAAACCTATATTAATTGTTGATCAATCAATTCACAAGTTGTCTAAACATCTTTTGCAACAATCACTTTATTAAAAAAATAAAACTCAAATACACTGGTTTATAGGAGTCTCCTAGAAATAGATCTTTCTAGACACTTATTTGACTGTCTACAAATACAGGTATCTGCTCGTTTTTAAGTGTTTTATAAAAAATAAACAAGGAAAATGTTTTCTATGTTTGTCTCAAAGGATAATACAAAGACAAATGAATTAAAACTTTAAGTTAGCCAAAGTCAGCTGACAACAGATGTTCTCCAAGGTCATAGCTAAATAGTTGATCATAACATCTGTAATGTTACGGCAATGAGTTAACATCTGAAATAACATGTAATCTTAAAAAAAACTTACTTTCATCTTCTGTAGTATGGGCCCCTTTCTTAATATAAATATCAAGTTTGACAGGGTGATGAATCGAGCGCTGAATTTTAATACGTATGCACAGTCCTATTAGCGTAGCCAGCGAACAATGGGGCACTGTAGGATTATATTCAACTCTTAACACAGGAACTTTATCGGCAGTTGGCTCTTTCACAAAAATACCTTCCTCGTACACCACCTTTAAATCTTCAAGGGTACTCGGCTTTTCAGGGTCCCGTATGGTCCGCAAAAAGTCTAAAACATCACAACACACGTTAAAACCACAAGCAAATAACCCAGCAAGTCTGAAAACACCAGCAAAACCCTTCAAAACAAACCGTAAATTGTTTCTTTCAAGTCGTTTTCATCTCTGTATCCTAGTTCCTGGAGTGTTGCACTTTTGTCCATATAAGCTGGCTTAGCAAGCTCCACTGGAGGTTTCTGAGAGTTATTTAGAGACAGTTTCGAAAAGAATGATATCATATCGTTGATAAAGAACGTTTGTAACTGATCCACAATCACAAGCAATCACAAGACGGACATATTTGTTTTGTTGGAAGCTCTATTTTCCCCTCAATTGTCTATGATACAGAAATGCGTTCATAGTTAGATATTTGTTTTATTCACTATTTCGCCCAGCAGACCCATTTTAATAAAATTGTGTGTATTTATTTCATTGAAAAAACATTTACAATTTTCCCTAAATATCCTTAGTAACTAGTCAAATGTAGAATTTTATAAACCTTTAAAATATTAAAACTCCTTTCTAAGGAAACTCGAAACGTAAACGAAACCTTTTCTTAATTTGCACGTCTAATGTATTTTTATCTCATCATAGTAACATCTATTGATCGGTGTACGAAAATAAATGCAAATGTTTGTAGGATTCGAATTACTTTATTAAACGTTAGTATGTATAATTTGAATCACTCAAGATGCGGACGCAGGGTTCTCAAATATCCTATACCAGACAAAAGTTTTACGCTCGGGATATACGTCGGCTTAATTCTGTCACGCTGTTATTGCGACGGTAAGAAGCGTTATGGAGGATTGGCACGATACGAAACACGGGGCCCTCGGATATTGGCTGACGTAAAGGATACTTTAGAGGTCACTTGTGTGACGGCATGGCATGACGCTTTACACGCTGCCAGAATGTCCAGCGTGTATAGAGCAGAGGCATGACCTCGTGACTGATCGCGAACATGGCACGGAGCGACTAACTCCTCCTGCAGGACGAAATGGGACCGGGGGGACTTAGAACCCTCGCCCGGCTCACCAGGCCGGGGAACAGACCAGGTACTGTAGGTGGCTTAAGCACTGGTGCTCGCTGAATGATCTCCGTCCTTCGTAAGCGCCGGGCCTGGGGGTGACAGGTGGCGACACGACGCGCTTCGGAGCTCCTTTAGGGGCAGGGAGGGGAAAACGTAGTCACCACATATCAGGGGACCATCCAAATGACTCAGGGCCCGTCGGGGTATCAGGGATTTCCTTTCTAGGTTACACTTGGTTGCCCGGCTACTGCCCGAGATGGCGCCGCGTGCGGTGTTAGGGCCATAGCTGACTAACGTCACGACAAGGCAGGGTACGGCAAGGTGTCCTTCGGCAGCCGAAGGATGCTTTGGTATGAAGAAGCATGTCAAAGCATACCGCGTCACGTCGTGGCATCTCGCAGAAAGACCAGCCACTCAGGACTACTACTACGGCACTGACTGACGTTGCGACACAGTACGACTTGGTAAAGAATTTAATTTCTGATCAAGTCCTTTTTATCCATATTTCAATGTGTTTAGAATTCATATTATTTTACTTTTTCGATTTCAAACTAATTGAAATAAGGTTGAAAATAACTTGATCGGAATTGAAATTCATAACCACATACCGGCTATCTGGTAAAGGATATCCGAAGGGAGTTTTACGCACGGAAAAAAGGAAAATGTGGCCATAATGTCGTTTTTGTATTAATGCCGGTGGCAAACAACTACAGGCATTCTGGGATTTTTAAGAATAGTTCATGATAGTTAAAAAAAAGCTGTGTGGTGTCGTGGGACACCCGATAGGAACGAAGTTGTTTAAAGTTAAAACTGATTTGACACGATATTAATTACAACGCCATCTATGAAAGCGGCTATTACCTACATGTTAAAAACAATTAAAACAATTTATACATTGGTAAAATCTCCTTGCGAAATGATTTCCTATCTGTTCGATAGATGGCGCTGAATGTCTGACAAGATGACACGAAAAAATATTATTACTAATCATAATTCATACTTTCATCAAATTCATGGCTTACGTTGTATGTTATAATAAGATTTACTTTAATTTTAAAAAAACTTTGACTGAAATCTGGGTAATAGTGTACATAGCATCAACTTCTTTTGATCATTAAAGTGTTTTGAAATATATTTACTTAGTTTTATTTCCTAAATTCAAAATTTCAAGAAAAAAATATAATGTTGACATTTGGGTAGGCCGTGGAAACACTCAAAACCACCAGAAAGATAATAAAATATGAATTAACATTACAAGCCTACACTATACTCACATTTACATACTTACACAAAAAAAACTATACAATTCAAATTCAAAGAAAAATAAAATACGAAAACAATATACGAAATACACCAAAAAATAAAAACCTGCGGTAAAAAATTAAATAAAGAGCAAAAAGCCAACATCACGTGGTATTCCCAGGCGGTCACCCATCCAAGTACTAACCACGCCCGATGTTGCTTAACTTCGGTGATCGGACGAGAACCGGTGTATTCAACATGGTATGGACGTTGGCGAACATTGAAGCAAATTTAATGTATGGTATCCACAGTTAGACGTCAATTTATATTAATAAAAAAGTGTCGCGTCCCAAATTTTTGTATGAATTTTTTCCGTCTAGCCCCCTTTCACAACGCGCGATAAGGAACTTCGTTCCAATATCATAAGGGTGTCAATTTTCTAGTTAACAAATTTTTTGTTGTAATTAAAAAAAAAATAAGATACGTAATCCATACGTCCATACTCATAAAATTTCTCTTTTTGTTATATAAATTCGATACGGGGTGGGGGAAGATAAATGTCAGTTAGTACCTAATGGTTATGATGATGTTACAAGTTCGACTCTAAAATTTAGTGAACGCAGATTTGTGATATGACGGTATGACCATAGACTTAGAATTGATTAAATTATATAAATATCATCGGTCTCTCGTATAGCATTACGGAACTATTGGTGAGCATCTTATAGTTAAACCGCCGTAAGCTTGGCCCTCCTGATGGTTTGCGTACATGACACGATGTACTAACTCGATATCTTCAGATTTATTTGTTTGAGATTTAATCTACACACGATGTAATAAAAATCGAATTTATTTCCATGTATTATAATGTCAGTGTATTGTAAGTTTTTATGATTAATTGTAAAATTTAATACTGTAAAATAATTTTAATAAAATCACCTTTTTTTCATCATGAAAATATATTCAGATACAATTTAAAAATTAAGTAAAATAATAAATATTCTATAATAGAACTTTAACAGTAGAACCTCTGTAAGACGAACCTCAAGTTTTTGAATCTTTTTGTGACGCAGTGTCGGCAGATTATCGATGTTGCAAAATAATACCGTGTGTAGCAGTCTTAAGAAAAATAACACGTACAACCATGCTTTCACGTCAGTCACTGCCGGCGGACAGCGACGCACTAGCTAATTGGTTGAATGCATCCCCGCCCCGCGTCCCCCCAAACCATCAGGAGTGCCAAGCTTAAGGCGGTTTAACTATAGATATACCTATTGCCAACAAGGCAAAGCCTCTCCGAAGTACGAACTACACAATAGAACAGGAGAAGTATGGTTCAGTTCTCCCTGAGTATACAAGACAGATTTTAAATTGTCCAGAATTTGACGTGCGTACGGGCCACAAACTTGGTCGTTATTAATGTCGTGATCCTTAGCGTCACATCGTATGCTAGCTACAGCAAGTATGTGTTGCGCGCCTGTGTGACCCTAAATGCGGAATCTATTAGGGGGTAATCTGTCCCATGTTATCTGCAGAGTTATTGCCTACGTCAGGGTGTAACCACATCGGTGTTATCAGTTCAATGTCCATTAAGTGGCTTTTTTTTCTTTTAAAAAGACGACTCCTGCATTAGGAATAAATCCTGTGTCGCGGGGGACTTTACAAACATACATGAAACGAACACAAAGAACACCCAGACTCACAAGAACAACAATTTGTGGATCACACAAAGTGTCGTCCCATGTGGGGTTTGAACCCACAACACTCGGCGCAGTAAAAAGCGGCGTGGCGACCGCTTAAACAACTACGCCATCCGTGCAGTCAGTTATTACTATTTATTAGTAGTAGAGAAATTGAGTTACCTAATTAAAGCTCTCAAGACTATTAAATATGATTAGCTAATCTAGCTGGTTTAATTATTTGAAATTTTGAACATCATGTAAATCAGGTAGTGCAGAAATGGTAACAATCTATTAAACCAGCCATAGGTTTATAGAAACAAAATTAATGTTAGTCATACAAAATTCAATGTTATTTGAACATACATGTTCAAAAGCTTTTCAAGTTTATTTCATCATCATCATCAGCTCATTGCCGTCCACAATTTGAGTGATACTACTCGTAATACTAGAGACTCTTACTTTTTTTTATTATGATTATAGTGACAGGCATGCAGTTGAAAGTGATAAAAGCCTGTATCCTGAGAGATGTTGCCCTTTTTGGTTTTTACTAGTTGTCCATATCTAATATAAATATATATAATATATAATCAACTTAAATGTAAACTCCTAAAAAGGCCGTACACAAACTAAAATTATATCATCCAAGTAAACAATAATATTCATTAAAAATGTTCATAAAATGAAAACTACTGGGCCTAACTATGTTAAATTTTTATGTGACCAAATGGCAACTATTCCGCATCAAACTAAAGAAGAATCACGTAAATCGGATCATAAATCTCAGAGTTATCGGTGTACATACATAAAAAAAAAACATAGCAATCGAATTGAGAACCTCCTCCTTTTTGAAGTCGGTTAATAATTTTTTTTTTTTTTTTAAACAATTTTTGTCTCAGATCTATTTTAAAACGGTATTTCCTACTCTGTAACATATTTATTGATCAAATAAATAAATATGATTAAAAAATATATATATATATTTAATATATATAATATTTAATATATTATAAATCATTATAATAATATGTTACCACTTTAATCTAACACATTTGTTACTTTTTTTTTTTTATTTCAAGTCAGATTTTTTTATAAATAATATTCTATCACATACACACAACGCCATCTAGTCCCAAACTAAGCAGAGCTTGTACTATGGGTACTAGACAACTGATATAAATACATATGTATATATATTTTTGTAAATACATACATATTATACATAGAAACACCAAATACATATTGTATATTATGTTTTATTTGTTTGTCTTTTTTTTTTGTAGTGTGAAATATTTTGCTTTTTTACCAAAACTTTAATTAAAACAATATTATCTTATCATAGAATTAATAAGAAGTTACGTAGAGCTTACACATTATACATACCTACTAATAGAAATATTTTTTTCTTCGCAGTTTTTCGTAAACTCGTCGATCTAGCTCTTAGACTATGTTCACCGTAAGAATTGAAATATCTTCTAAACCAAGACCCGAGTAAATGTGACAAAAAAAATGTGCGAAAAATTAATGACGAAATTTGGGAGAAAACAGATCTTCGCTAGGTGCCCTAGTTTTGAGGTATAAACGTGGCCAACCTGGGAAGATTCGCCTTAGGTCCGGCCACCTAGGAATGCTTATAACTTTTGAACCAGTGACCGATTAATTCTGATATTTGGCGACAAATTAGACATTTTTGTGATATCAAAATTAAAATCCATGATGGTGGCCATGCCAGGGTCAGTGACACAGCTCGCCGCTGCATATACGTCAAACGCAACAGAACGCTGCATTCCGGCTAATTTGCAGTGCGTCTAAGAACATCGAACATGTATCATCTTATATATAAAATTCTCGTGTCCATACTCCTCCGAAACGGCTGGACCGATTTTTAGGAAATTTTGTGTGCACATCGGGTAGGTCTGAGAATCGGCCAACATCTATTTTTCATACCCCTAAATGACAAGGGTGATCCACCCCTGATTTTTAATTTGGTAAAACATCGTTTGCCGGGTCAGCTAGTATGTATATAATATAGCTGAGCGTTCTTTGACATCTAAAATGAACATTTCCGCGTGTCAAAATCTATGACAAACATGCGACAGCTAAATAAAATTCCGAATAACAACCCCTGCGAGTTCCGAAAGTAGGTTTGATCCGCATGCACCATAGACATCTTCGTTTCTTTGTTATCTGTGACGAAAGTATTTCACTCGAGTTGTAAGTTACATTTATTATATGGTACTTAAAAGAATAAAAAAACCAAATACTTATAACATAAGTTTATTAGAACTTTTTGAAGGACTTTTTGGAGCCTTTGCCCTTCGTGACTTTCAGTACATTAAAACGGATTGTCTTTGAGAGCGGCCGGCACTCACCAATGGTCACAATGTCTCCTAACTCGACGTCCCTGGAAATTCACAAAAACAAAGGGTGAGAAGAGTTCTGCAGATATGAAATTGTTCATTTTAGTGAACAATTAAATCAGTATTTGGGTTAAAACACGTTCTTCGTCAATTGGTCTTCGGAAGACCGTCGTGTGGGTATCATCATTCAGTAGTTTAAACAGAAGATGTATGCTAAATATTTTCAATGTTTGATTAAAATTGGTGATCATAAACAGTTTAGTACAGTTTTTTATCTTGTAATTTGGTTGTGGTCTTAAAAAGGAACCTCTATACACTTAATACTACTGTAAAATAGCAGATGAAAAACATTAAAAAGAGAAGTTAAGCCACGATATATGACATCATAGCCAATTTTCTTTTCCAATTCTTTCAATTCCAATGTCCATTACAATTCATCACTAGCAAAACTTTCTCCTTCGAGATTCTACAAAATTGATAATAAACAATAACATATGACCACAGTATCTATCCAAGCTTCTAGCTTGATTTGGACTAACCAGAATACACATGGTCAACCTTTTTACAGCCTTAATTGCTTTTACTACCATGATTAGTCCTTTATTTAAGCACAAACACCAATATATTTATTTACTCTATGTAAAATGACTGTAGTAAGCCAAAACCTCCTTTCAAAGGAGAGGCCTATGTCCAGCAGTGGACTAGTAAAGGCTGTTGATGATGATGATGAAAATGACTAAACTGCTCATCTGGGTCTTGTCATACATTTTTCTTCAATTAGTATTAGTAGATATTTGATAATATGCCATAACAACCTAGTTAATTGAAACCTAGCCCTTATGATTTGATTCCAAGTCAATATAATTTGTCAAACCAACCTGAAGCAAGGTGACAAATGGACCGACATATTCCTGTGACGCTTCTCAAATCTGTTGTATTTCGGCAGGTAGTGAAGATAATCGCGGCGAATGACAATTGTCCTTTGCATCTTCATCTTTTGTACGACTCCGGTAAGGATACGACCACGGATCGACACATTGCCGGTGAACGGGCACTTCTTGTCGATGTATGTGCCTTCAATGGCCTGAAATACACAGATAAACAAATAAAAAAAAAGCAAGTGTGGATGTTGTCGTTAGTAGTAAAAGCTTGGGTTTTAGTTACTGATGTAATTCCTTCACCGATGATGTGATGAATGCTTATGTGGTGATGAATGATGAGAACTGTTTTGTATAGACTACATACTCGATTTTTATATTATAAAAGTACAAATAGGTATATATAGAGAAATCAAGTGTATAAAGGCATTTAGGCTTTGGTTTACTGATAATTTTCTAAGAATGATAATTAAATAAAATTTGTATGCAATCTTTTACTTTTAAATCTTTATGTTTTTTTTTCTATCACACCATAATTAAATGTTACATACACATTTGTATATGGTTACATTTAAAAGTAATTTACGTTAAGCCAGAAGTAATAAAACTGTTGTTTTAAAGACATGATCTAAAAGTTTAGACTGTAATCAGAATTTGGGTTAGTACACGTTCTTCTTCACTTAGTTGTCAGAAGACCGTCGTGTGTATTTCATCATGTTACAGATCGAAACTCAAATATCCTAAATAAAAAGCTTACTGATTTTTAAAAGGAATACAAAAACTGGCATTTCAAGCTAAATTACTAGATCGTCATTTTAAGAGTGATAGAGGGAGGGAGGGAGGTGATGATACAAAGAGGGCTTAGCTCATATCTCGACAATAACTATGTTTCTTTCACCATGGATGAATGGATCCCAACACAGAATGTAAATTTTATGATATTGCAGAAGCATTTCTTATTATTGTAGTTAGACCATCATAGTGGTTATAACTTTTCATGCATTAAATAACCCAGATCTGTTTCTTGAACAATGTGAGGTGGAAACAAAACAGATAGTCAATACTATGCTTTGTCAGTATTGCTATACCTAATTATTACTGCATATTTATATCTCAATTAGTGATTTTTTATGAGATGATAGTGTGCTGTAACATCACTGTTTGATTCAGCTGCTGTTTTTAAAGCAAATATATACAAAAATTTACATTATTTACTTTCAGTCAACTTCAGCAGAATAGAGGTTGGTAAACATTACTAATTTGTAAGATTATTTAAATTTATTTCCAAATAGGAATATTAAGTATTTCTAATGCTTAAGTTTTACTTTTAAGTAGCTCCGTGAATACCATATCCAGGGAATTAATTAGGCCTGGATGGAATGTGACGTTTACAGAATTGACAAAATGCATATAGAACAGATCTGATTGTATCCTTCTATCAAAGACTTATTCGTGATCCAATTTTTTATTTTTGATGAAGGATGATGTTACAAATATGTTCTATATCTGGATTATGCAAAGTTTGAGCCATGCACATATATTTAGCAAGCATCGCCTGACCAAAATGGACAAGTTACCTACAATGGACTATTATAAACATTAGAAAAAAATACAATTTGTGGTACATTATGTTTCAGAAATAGTCCATTGTAGTTAGGTTTGAACAACGTAGCCAGTAGCCACCACCGCTGCAAGCTGCCCGTACGACCACTTTTTAAAAAAACCACACCTCACGTGGAGTCTTGAACCCAAGACCGACATTCTTTGAATGCCTCATGTCTTTACGCTTCATCCCACCCTTCCTGTTCAGGAAGACCGTCGCCTGCTTCTGAAACGCTTTCTCTGTCTACGGAAAAAAAGTTTCAAATGTTAGTTTCACACATCATGCGTTACCTCTCTAGGTGTTTTGAAACCAAGTCCCACATCTTTGTGGTACCTCAGAGGTTTCCTGCTACGCTTCACACCAATACCCTTTTTACGGTTCAAGAAAACCGTTGGTTGCTTTTGAAATGAACGTTCCGTCTGGAATTTCATTAATTTATTAGATTCTTGTAATTTAGAAGTTGCAACTAACTACTTGTTAATCAGAAAATGAAATATTAGAAAGAAACAGAAAAGAAATAAAAATACTTATTCTACTTTAACAAAATTATAGAATGCTTTTTTTGGAATTTAATTTTCGCAGTTAATCAAAAGGTCACTTTTAGGAGTACCTATTAAAATCTTGACTATAAAGATTTAACTTACCAACATAAAATGCTTTCAATAAATTTAGGTTTTATTATACAGTACAAATGTAAGTTTGTTATGGCTATAATCAGAGTTTGGGTTAAAAACACGTTCTTCGTCATATTTTTATCAGAAGACCGTCGTGTGGGTTTCATCACATTAATGCCATAACAAACCTCAACAGTTAGAAATAAAAATTAAGAATTATTTATAGAAATTAATTAATAATTTAAATTTTCTAGGTGTTAACTGCATCTATACAGATATGTAATTTTCTTGATTAACTGTTTCCATTTTCCTAATAAGTTATTCATATTTCAAGAATTGACTCGATTTGAATAAGTATAAGTGAAATATTTTTATAGATTGGTGACTAATTGGCAATCAAAAATTGATTATAAGGATTTATAATTTTCAATTTTTTTGCTAACAAAAAGTAGGGAAACCAGAGGTAAACATAACCTATAAAAAGCTAATAAATCAATGATCTGCTTTTAAGTCTACAAAATAGCAATTGTGTAAATTAGGGAACAATTCATGCAAATATCGTGGTACGTAGATTTTATGATAGGCTCTCATTTCGGTAATTGTGACAAACTAACCTAGTTATATGAACACATTTTTACATTAATTGGTATAACGTTTCACATCTTAACTAATACTTTACGAAATAAGAAATTTAAAACCAATGCAACGTGGTCCTCTTGTAATAAATATCATCATTTTGGCAATTAAATTAACAGCGAAAGCCGATTCCCACGTGCACGAACTTCGAAGACACATTTCACTCAACACACTTATTTTTCACACATGAACTGATGATAATACATAACGCAAGTAATATCTAAACACTTTTACTACAAATACGCCGTAATTTATCGAATGATTTATTAATTTTATCCAGAAATCTAACACGTACCTGATCCGCCATCTTGCTTGACAACGAAAAGAAGTTGTGTAGTTGTGTTGCAAATTAAAAGGATACAAAACTTCTAACTAGTGTTGCCAAGTCTTAGAAATCCGAGCTCTTAGGCTCAATTTCAGAAGATTCTACCACAGACTGACTCCAAACACGTTGGGGCAGTTGAAAAATTGCATACTGCGGGGCGGGGTGGGGTGTACTTTGTATAACGGTCAATAGTAATAAAGTCATTGCGAGAACTGATATTGTTTAAGGGAAAATAAACCCTTTTAAAAAAAAAGTTGAACCGACTTCAAACAACACCGACAAAGAGCACTAAAAATTAAAAAAAAACAAATCTAAGTAAAAAACTATAATAAGTACCCTCAATGTAACAGGTAACATTATAATACCAATAGTCCTTTCTAGTCTGTTTGAAGTCGGTGTCAAGCTTGATGCACAAAAAGTAATACCGGTCTATGTCGGCTTTATATTAGCATAATGAAAAATTAAGAATTCAAAATAATTCTAATTTATGTCTTTGTAATGTGTATAATATAATGGTATCAGTCCATAGTGAACAGAGCCGAAATGATTTATGGCTGATACATTAAGTAGAATAATGTATTCTCGTGAGGAGCTACCATTCATAAATATGAATGGTAAAAGGATATTTTTTTAAAATGGCATTAATAATATGTAGGGTCATTGCTCTCGAATAGTACAAACAGTGCTGATAAATATTTCAAATTATGTTCTCTGTTGACGTTGTTTACAATTAAATTTGAATTAAAAAAAAATTGAGACGTCGCAGGACTTTTGACAGATGTAAAGGAAATTTTATTGCAGAAGTAATGAGTATTAGCGGTATTAGTATTTATATTAGCGGTTTTCACATATTACTGCAAAAGAGTATGTATACTCTGAGATTACCAATCAACAGTGATGTCATTGGCAGACCAATAATATCAATATTTTCTTCTTTTATAAATACCGCTCTGCTTATAGCAAAGGTTGACATTCAGCTCTGTAAATTCCTTCTTTTTCTTCACGAGTCGAAAAATGCATCGCCACCATTTTTCGGATGTTGTGTAGTCACGATTTCCTTTGCCAACCAATAACTTTTCTATTCGCATCCTTTCCTTCCATAATGCATTATCTTTCATGAGAACGAATGATATGTAATTTTTCTCATCTTAACAGAATCCAAAAGATGCCGTTTTTGTTGACGCATCGCTGAACATTGGAAACTTTCTGAGTTATACACATAATATATGAGTACAACTAAGCTCGAGATTCTTCTTCCCTCCTTTTTGGCCTTAAGTCACTAATTGTTACGTATAGATCGCTTCACGAGCTCGCCAAGCAGTGTGCTTCTGTGCCATTCGCATCCAGCCACTTCCCTTTATATTTTGCGATGTCGTGGACCTAGCAAACATGCTGACTTTTGAACTTGCGTTTTCCCGTCCAAAGTCTCCACTCAGCAACCTTAGGTGGCCATCTACCATCTGTTCTGCGGCTAATGTGGTCAGTCTATCTCCACTTTAATCAAAGACAAATATGTAGTGGACCGTTGAGAAAACTTTTCGGAAGCCTGCCTGTTCTACGGTAGTGTTGGTTAGAACTTTGGTGAATAGCTTGTATGTATGCAGGAGAATCAATATAGGCCGTAGTTTGCCAATTGTCAAGTGTCACCTTTCTTAAAAATAAGAGTGACTATGGCTTTTGTCCATTCCCTAGGACTTGTTCCTTTCATGAGCTCCTCATCGAACCGTTTTTATAGATGTGTTAGCACAGATTTACCTCCAGCTTTGATAAACGCCAAGGGTAGGTTATTCTAACCAGGAGCTTGTGCCTTTTCTATCCGCTTAAGGGCCGTTTTGATCTCATACAAGCTAATATGGAGAGGTCTTTGGAGATCACCGGCTTGTTGCAGTTGTTTAGCAGCTTTAGTACTATATAAGTCCTTGTAGGATAGTTCCACGGTGTTGAAGACTTCCTCCACATCTGTTGTCTCTCCTCGATCATTTGCTTTAATTTTGTAGATTTGTTGTCATCCGTTTTGCAGTTTCTTCCTAAACACTTTTGTTCCTCTATGATTTTTGGTGGTATCCATTCTCTTTAGCGTATTTGACCTGTTTCTATTTCACGTTGAGACTCCCAGGCGATAGGCGAGAATGCGTGATAAGTACGAGAGACAGAATTGCCATATACAGAATACTTAAATATAAAAAAGAATTTGTGGCAAAACCCTGATGGAATTTCTCTGGTATTGCAAACTACAAAATTTTATTTCCCCTTTTTGGAACAAGATCCTGGTAGATCTACAGCCACAATTCTATGAGAATCAGTTCACAGTTATTTCTTGAGATAAATTGTATTAAAAGATATATTGATAATGAGACTAAAGTAGAATAGCTTAATACACAAAATTCAACAACATATCCTATATTTAAAAAAAAACATGGAATGTCCACATAGATTTTAAGAGTGACAACATTTGTATAGGAAACTGTCAAACTGAGAATTGTTATGAAAATATTCGCTAATTTATTTTTCGCATTTTGGCCTGCTCATAACGTTTAACGGTTTGCTTTTCATTCATTATATTTAAATGTAAATAACAATAGTCTTATGTAGCTTTCGAAGTACATTCCAATGATCACATAGTGAGTGTTATATGGTAGTGATGTTTGGAGCTTTTTCATTTTCTTTTGTGCTAAATATTATTTCTGGTTGATTTGCGATGGAGGAAGTGAGGCAGCTGGTGCAAGAAGAAGGCCGGGAGGCACGAAACCTGGTCGCTTTTCATGTTGCCGTGGATACTCCAAGTAAATTAATGTTTATTTTCATCTCTATCTATGTTTGTGTGGTAAAAACCTTTTAAGCCGTGGGCGGGCGGTAGTATTTATTTCTTTTTGCAGTTAAGGAGTGCCCGTTAGATAATATAACACACTTTATAGCGTAAACTTAATTTGAAACACAATTGTAATTTTTTTTATCTTCGAAAATTGGAGTGTAAACGTGTGTGTGTGTGTGTATATGTATAATTTTTATGTACACACAGAAGTCCTTACAGTTCAGGCTTTATATACTTAAGAGTAATATTCTACTATATATAGTACAGTCTAAACCCCAAACTAAACAAACTCCTTTAGAAGAAGATAGATAAGAGTACAGAAGAAGAGTAATAAACACACTGAGGTTTTCTCAAAGTTCAACTATTTTTTTTTAGTTTGATTAATAATATTTTAGTAATATTAACTGTACCTCCAATCTTCAAATATTTTCATTGATTACCAACTGGATTCCAATTAGACTGGTTTATTTCTCTACCCTAGTCTTCTTAGCCTCTCCAATCATAGGATCAAACCTGCTTCTTTGAGCTGCTGCTGTCTCAGTCCTGTTTCTGTACCTTACCTTAACCTTACCCTGGCGCTATCACCTTACTTAAGATTGATGTTGAGTAGAAGTTTGGCCATTGAAGATCTAGCTGACCCTGAAAAATAGGTGATGCAGGATGACATCATAGAATTGATTTCAGAGACTCGTTACTTTTCAAGGGCAAATACATTCTAATACTTTGTAATAATTGCAATAATTATATTATAATTGTAATAATTGCTATTAAATATCATAAACACTTATTGAGACAAAATATTTTGTCTAAATATAATTCTTAGGTATTTGTGGGCAATTTAGTATAAAATTACTGCCATGAGTCACTGGGCTTTTAAGCAGATTTATCTTGAATTCATTACTCACCATATTAAACAGACACAATACATTTTTATTAGGGTTCTACAACCATATATGGAGTTGTTTCATGTTTTTATTGCATTAAAAGTAATGTTGATGGTTTTTTCTTTCACCGTCGGGTAGGTGGATAAAACTGTTTATAAAAATTGAAAAGTTGTGAAGACTTGAAATACATACTTACCTTTATGAGTTATGACATTTTAAAATACAGATTTCTTTAAAGTCAAGTATCCTCTTCCTTTACAAGCTATATGTTAGCTTGGCTTGAAAAATATGAATAGATATGATCATAAATAGTTCTGTTAGGTTAAAAATATTAGTTGCCTAACTTATAGAGATTACTTAAATTTTGCACAAAATCTCTAGAAAGAAATGTGTCGAAATAAAAAATGAGTGTTAATAAACTGGGTAAATGTAGATTGCACATAGACACAGCTGCTGATTTTTAGCAAAACTATTGATAAACTAGCTGGTACCCGCGACTTTGTTTTCGAATTAGAAAAGCGCTGCCTTAGTTTGTTTTATGATGTTAATTTCTAGGGCTTTTCTAAGAGAAAAAAAAGCCTAAGTTACTCCTTATATAGTCATCCTGTCAGTCCACCTGGTATTAAAACATTTTTGTTTGTGGCGTCAATGAAAAACAAAAAAAAACCAGTTTGTAATTGAAAAAACTACTGTTCAGTAATTCTGTCGTTGCATTTCACCGAGTGAGGATATTGGAGCCCTAACCTGGGGGGAGGGACTGAAAGGGCGATCACGCACTTGTGACTCTTCAGTTGAAGGTGTTCATGTCCGCGGGGTGGGGTCATCTAGCCGTAGATGACCTGAGTTACGTCGGGGTCCCAGGCTTTCCTTTCTAGGGTATACTGGTGTGCAGTTTTTGGTTGGTTCGAGTCCGACATAACCACCCCACTGGTGGGTGGTATCTCCAATGGGAGTTCCGCACAGGAAAAAAAGGGGTGTTCATGAGCGGGGCTAGACGCCTACCATCAGGTGACCCTTCTACTCGTTTGACCCTCCCTCCCCCCTCTCCTATACCATAGAAAAGTATTCCCATCTGCCAGTTTCTGGAATTTTGTCGCACCGGCCACAGCACTGTTACCTCAAAGTGACTGGTAATATTCGAAAGGGCATGGAAGACACCAAAGTTACAGTTCTGGTCTTAGTTGATTTTTTCCAATGCATTCAATATCGTCAGTCACGAAATCCTACTATCAATCCTTACATATCTTAATATTCCCCTAGAAGCACTGGAATGGTTCTCCACATATCTTCAAGGGCGCCCTCAATGTGTTCGTGTTTAAGACTTCATCGAGTGTGTGCGACCTCAATACTGGCGTCCCCCAAGGCCAAATTTTAAATCAAATCTTTTTTTTTATGGTATAAGGGGGCAAACGAGCCGACGGGTCACCCGATGGTAAGCAACTACCGCCGCCCATGGACACCTGCAACTCAATAGTCACAAGTGCGTTGCCGCCCTTGGAGTCCCTCCCGCTCGAGTCAGCGGGAGGGGGGATTTGGGCGCCGGTAACCTCATTTAATCAGTGAAAGGCAACGAAAGAATTGCTTAACACCGGTTTTCTGTGAGACCGTGGTATCACTCCGGTCGAACCGGCTCATTCGTGCCGAAGCATAGCTCTCCAACGGTAATCAAGGTATAAAGGTGGTAGAAGTTACATCATATAATACATGGGTTCGCTGTAATATAACCTCGTAAAGGTGTGTAAATATTTAGACATAGATAGTTAAAAGATTATTATCTAGACATGCAACATGCAATTTATCTCTTTTATTCTTTATATTTATCAATCTCATAATTCAACACCATCAGTGTGCGTATCACCTAGCCAGCTCATCGACTCAACCCTTGATGGGCGAGTCAGAAAGTAACCGGAAATCTGCGAACGTTATACCGTCTTAAGAGTTTCCTGCCTCCTTAAACGAAAATCTTTGTCCGAAGGATGTCCACAAACCGTTTCACATTTAAAAAGCATGTACATAAGTACCTTCTTCAGTTGGCGGAATTACCTACTCAATAGTACACCTCCCTAATTACAGTGTACGAATACAAAGTATATATTTTTATGTGTATTTATATCTATATATGTATAATTATGTATTTATCTATATGTGTGTACTCGTATGTATGTGTGTATTTGTTAGTTAAAACTTTATAACTACATCACCAGATTTCTACACCACCCAAAGGTTGCCCAGGGCATTCTCTACCAGCCAACCTTTCCGCCGATGTACACAAGTGCATAAAGTTGTAAATAAATAAATAAACAATATTTCTCCTTTGTCCAGGCCGCATCTCTCGGAAACCACCACGCGCTGGCCCTCCACCACGCCGAGCGACTCCTCGACCTGCAACACGTCTACGATCTGCTTCGGCTGGAAGAGACAAACGTTCCGAGCTACGTGCCCGTTATTGGGCGTTACTGTTTGGTGACTTGCAGCGAGCGGTAAGGACCTTGTAACATGTTATTGGAACGAAGTTCCTTAACGCGCGTAACACGTACTAGCGGATGGGACCGAGACCGAAAAATGTGTGACAAAACTTTTTGCCGAAAAGCGAAATAAACTTCGTTCCGACCGGGGGTCCATTGACCCCTCACGCCGTTTTTAATTATGTAGAATTATTCTAAGAAAGCATCCTTTTCCGGTGATTGGCTTTTCGAGCCAATCCTACATTGGTTGTTAACCCCTGACGCAAAGAGAGGGATGGATTGATAATGATGCGGTTTTATTTTGTTTGAAAGTTGACGTGATCGACATAGTTCTTAGCGATAATTTGTGAAGATTATGAGCTCATTTTTTAGTTGATGAAGGGGTCACACTACCTTCCACAACTCCGATTGATTTAAAATTTGATGTACCGTTACTTTAGTATTATTGCCATGATAAGGCAACCTTGACCTAATGCTGTTCTTATCAGACTGGGTCCTAGACTAATTGTCATTCATTGAGATAGGCTTGAATAGTCTAGGACCTCCGATATATAATTAAGATTTACAGTGGTTGGATCAAAATCTCATATCAGGCGACCGTTTTTGCGACCGACTGCAGCTCCTGTAGAGTTACAACGGATTCTCGTGCAGTGTGATGTTTCATTGAGCAATAATGGTGAAGATTCACGAGTCGAGGCTGTTTCACTGCTAGTTTCTCCATCATTGTTCGAAGTTCGGCACAGTAAACATCTTCTGTTATTGCCTGACTAGACCTGAGAAAGCTTTAGTGAATAACACCATGAAGACATCACCTAACAGTTACCATTACCTTTTTATTGGTAAGCTATGCTTTAGGGTACTGGGCACATGTACCAGGGACTTCCTTTCTAGGGTATACCTGGTTCCCCGGCTATTAGTACCCGAGACGGCGTGCGGTTTTAGTCGGTTCGAGTCCGACATGCCACCGACAGGTGGTATCCGAGGGGATTTCCGCACGGAAAAAAAAAAAAGGGTACTGGTCACGGTCAGCCATTGCGTTTTTCGCTATCGGTTATCGTAAATAATCCACTTTTCGTCACATGTCACAATTCGAGCCAATATTCCTACATTTCTGTACCGATTCAACACGGCAACACAAGTTTATTTTGCAGATCAATCAAATCATGTGGCACCCAATGAGTCAATATTGTAGGTAGGGTAAGCTTGAACCATGCCGCTAATTCCTGGGTAGGTTGACTCGGATCGGCTTTCACCATCTCCTGCAATTCAGCGTTATTCACCTGTTTGGATGCGGTCTTCCGCGTGATTCGTTCTTCAAGTCGAAGTTTCGACTTCGTTTTATATTGCGAGGCGTTTCTGCAGCCTTAGTTCCTTGTCGGAACTCGTATTAAAAAATGACTCGGCTTTTCGTATCCATTTTTCACGTCTAGGCTGATAAAGAAACAATTGAAAGTCTATAATCGAATGTTGCACATTTTTTCAAAGAAGAACCTCATGGGTATCATGTGAAAAAAGTTAAACACGAACATCTCACGCCATGAAGCTTGTAGGTTGTTTGTTCAAAGTACCTATCTATTACTACTCGTATATAACAGAAATTTCATGCTATAGCCCCTATTATTATACGTGAAATCGTTTTAAACTATATCATTTGATTTTAAATATACACGTGTACAAATAAACTGACTGGCCCATTGGTCTAGTGGTTAGTGACCCTGACTGCTAAGCCGGATATCGTGGGTTCAATTCCCACCCGGGACAAATAATTGTGTGATGAGCGCGATCATTTCTTCTGTGTTTGGGTGTAATTTATTTATACACTAGCTGACCCGCGCAACTTCGTCTGCGTCTCTCAATAGTAATAAATTTTCTCCGTTTTTGAAACATTCTTCATTGGTGCTCCGCTCCTATTGGTCTTAGCGTTATGATATATAGCCTATAGCCTTCCTCGATAAATGGGCTATCTAACACTCAAAGAATTTTTCAAATCGGACCAGTAGTTCCTGAGATTAGCGTGTTCAAACAAACAAACAAACAAACTCTTCAGCTTTATAATATTAGTATAGATATAAAATTACTTGCCCTGACTGAGACCCTGAACCGCTGGGGTTACAAACTTAAAATGTTGGCAGCTGATGCTTTTTATGTTGTAAGCATCCTCTAAGAAAAGATTTTTGGAAATTCTAGGCTTTTTTTGTTTTTTTTCCGTGCGGAAATCCCCTCGGATACCACCTGTCGGTGGCATGTCGGACTCGAACCGACTAAAACCGCACGCCGTCTCGGGTACTAATAGCCGGGGAACCAGGTATACCCTAAGGTACAAAGGGATGAACGGTAGTATGGAAGGTCGTCATTTTCAATGTTAGAAAGACGTAAAAAGAAATAATCAGCACGAAGCCAGGCAATAGCTAGTCTATAATATATATCAGGTGATCCGTCTACTCGTTACCATATCCTATAAAACAACAATAAAAGACGTGTGGCACTCGGGGACTGCCGCGGTAAAGCTATTGCATAGCACTTTGTATCAACTTATGCAATTATAATTATTTATTTATTTTATTTATGCAGTATTTCTTTTTCTTTGAAATTAATTTAAGTTACACTTTTTGAGCGTGGTGACCGATAAGAAAACAATTTTTTTTTCTTTTATTAAATAAAAATATTGAAGCATATATTACAATTTGTTTTAAAATAAATAAATAAAAAATATTATTATTAAATCAAATTACATATCCATGTAAGATTTTTCTGCATTATGTTGACGAAATTTCCTTTGACGTTCAGCATTTGATTTAGGTACTGTTTTTTGTTTTGTTTTTAGCGTGAGGTTTTTTTTTCGTTACGGAATTTCTGGATTCGGTGTCCGCGCTCAAGGCCCTCGATAGAAGCTATGCAATAGCTTAATAAAAAATCCTCTACGTAACCATATGACCTATGTCCTATCTTTAGTGGGGGCTACTAAGACAGGGACTCCTGAGTTGCAGACGTTCATGGGCGGCGATGGTCACTTTCAGTTAGGTGACCCATCTGCTTGTCTGCCTCTTCTAACATAAAAAACAAATAAAAACACGACTTTGCTCGCGTAACAGTTATTTTTCCATCGGGCTCATTCCTTTTTACACGCTTTATATTAGCTTCACTTGTAGGTGTGTTTGTATGTTTGTAACCGACTCCTTTGGGCGTGATTTTGACTGACTTTAAACGGTCAGAATTCGTTCAAATTTTGTAGATATATCGAGGACCGATGACAATAAACTAAATTTAAAAAAAGTTAAAAAAAATAATTTAGTTTAAAAAACTAAAAAACACGCGTGGGGTGCTTTTTACTATTGACAACAGGCACCCAACGCTTTTTTTTCAAATTTATTTTCTATTTTTTAGTTTTATAAACTATAATTTTTTTTGTTGATGAGAACTCTGCGTTCTTCTCTGTATCCCTTGGATTTCCTTCCATGGAATCTTACAACTAATATGCGAAATTATATGACATTCAGATGAAAGCTGGCAGACACCGCAAACATACGCTTTCTTTATTTTTTTAAAACCTCACACACAGCAGTCTGATCCCAAACTAAGCAAAACCTGTACTGTGGTAACCAGAACGCTAATACTAACTTTTAAACTTTCGCGTTCCATGATAATTAATATTATTTAACGGGAATTAACGCGATCTCTTATTTAGGGTATTACATACCTCTGGTTTGCCTGACGTTTCGACCAGGTTGCACCGGCCGTGGTCACTAATTCTCGTAATAAAAGTTCGGTCTCAATTCAGTTTTAACCAACTAACTTACGAGGATTCGCCTTCAGACTGCTGATAAACATCCCCATACTAATATTATGATTATTAAAAATGCGAAAGTGTATCTGTCTGTTACCTCTTCACACTTAAACCGCTGGATTGATTTAGATGAAATTTGGTATAGATATAGTTTGAGTCTCGGGAAAGGACATAGAATAGTTTTTATCTCAGAAATCATCCTCTAAGGGGGTGAAAAGTGTATAGTAATTTTGTATTGGGAATCAGTAACCGCTGAACCGATTTCGATGAAATTCGGTATGGAAATAGTATGATTCTTGACGAAGGACATAGGCTACTATTTAGAGCGATAACTTTCATACACGCAAGCGGAGCCGTGGGCAGATGCTAACATATTTTTGAAAACAATATTCTCAAATGCGGACGGATATTCCAATTCAATTCATTTGTATATCAGTATGTGCTGCATAGACGCGTACACTGTAATCATCGCATTGTATATTTATGAGCTCTTGCCTGGGGGCAGACAGTTATCGATCACCCTTGCAGAAGCAGACCTAAACTGGCAGATGTGGCAGTCACGTGTTCCGCACGCCTATATCTGACAGCGATGTCTTTTATTCAAAAGGCGGTCATGAGGTCCTGGGAATAAGGACTATCAGGTCATTGTTTAGATTTAGTCGTTTAAAGACCGACATATCATCTGTCTATCTAGCCCCGATAGGGTGAGGATTCGAGTTTCCTTAAGTTGACACAGGCCTTTTCGAGTCCCGTTTTCCGTTTTCCGTCCAGTACTCTATCTTCCATAGAGTATTGGATACTACAAGGCTCGGAGTGGAAAACGGGACTCGAAAAGGCCTGTGTCAACTTTAGGATACTCGAATCCTCATCTTGTCTATTTTTCTTACCTTCCTACTTCTTTTCTTCCCTTCTACGGCCGACCTGTCATCAACTGTTCTGGGAACAGTTATTGGTTTCAGATTATCTGAAAACAATAACTTTTCCCAAAACAATTGATGACAGGTCGGCTGTAGAAGAAACCATCCAAAACCCTTTTGCAGTTTTGCACATTCCGCCGACGCCAAATAAAAAACGGACCAGGGTAGCAAAATTATGAAGATACTGATGATGATTAAATTAGAAGATCGGATGCTTCGGAGAGCACATTGAGCTGTAGGTCCCGGTTGCCATATGAACATTTGTGGCAAGCGTTACGGGTAGTTCTAGGCCTAAAAAGTCCAACAACAGTCTATCTACAGAACTTCGATATCGCGTAGTACTTAGGTTGTGGAGGTCTGTTGGCAGTTGCTCCACGTAAACAATCAAAGTTCAGCCGTATCGTGGTGGACTTAAAGCCGACCACAACCTAGTTTGGGAAATGGCTCGAAGGATAAAAACTTTAACCAAAATGCACCTACTTTCTGTTCTCTAAGCACCAAAGGTTGACTGGTAGAGAATGACTTAGGCATTAAGTCCGCCGATATACAAAAATGTATAAAATTATAAATAAATATAAATAAATTACGACGGTGAGATTTGCAAAACGTTTAATTTAGTAATAATTTTCATTTACATTTTTTGGTGGTTTTTTTAGGTGGACACCATATTTACATTCGCGAACTATTTTTCCAATAAAAATTTGTTACCTCGTTCAGAAATAATGTTGTTTCTTATTTATTTCATAATACAATATTCAGGAAAAAACTTATTACCTCATGACAGCTCAGTAAAACAACAATAAACTCCCTTTTTAGGTTGTTCATGACAATTGTTTTTGGGTTTTCCTCTACAGTTACACATTCAATGTGTAAACATTTCTATAGGAACCTATGGTTGATTAGACAATTAGGGAATATTGGCTTGTATCCATTTAAGGACGTATGACCCGCATAGTTGAAGTTAGTCTAGGATAGTCTAGATTTGCGGAAGTCACCTCAGTTCCCGCGATTCCCGGCGTATGTGAGAGACGGAACACCGGGGGGTTTTAGTCAGTAGGACAGACCCCTCCGCCCGATCCCCTCGGCGGAGGACATCCATGAGGATCTGCCCCCGTTAACAAAAGAAAAGGAGTCTAGATAATTTTGGAATTTTGGTACATCAAAACATTTTTGGACGCTTGAGGTGAACAGATATTTGTTTATTGGTTTGCCTTGTTGGCCTTGTTGGTTGGTTGTTGGTTTTTTTTTTTTTCCGTGCGGAAATCCCCTCGGATACCGCCTATCGGTGGCATGTCGGACTCGAACCGACTAAAACCGCACGCCGTCTCGGGTACTAATAGCCGGGGACCCAGGTATACCCTAGAAAGGAAGTCCCTGGTGCCCCGATATACCTCGGGCCATCTACAGACGAGTAGACGATCCCCCCCCGTGTGGGAACCCCATGTTCCCTGTGCTCCCTGGAAGCGAGCGCGCTTCGCAACGCGCTCGCCGCCACCCCCCCCCCCCCCTACCTGTTACCCCCAGGCAAAATATTCGTACAAAATAGAACATAGTATTAACCTTAATACAACACATGTAGGTAAGTGTGCACAACTTATGTAGGTAAACCACACATACATGCATCTTGGTTTTGACTGTAGAACAGAATTTTATTCAAGATGGATAAAAACTTTAATGATCTTTTGTTGTAAGTTTTCTCTGAAAGGTATGTCATTATTTTATAATGTCGAATTGGATTAGTTAATCGTGAATATTGTAAATGTGTGTGTGTGTATGTACGAATTATATCTTTGAATTCGGTTAAGTTTACAACATGTTTTTTTCATAATAATAACTTATCTAACACACGGATGTCTGATTTCAAACTAGAGAGAGCCTGTGATACGGTAACGAGAATGCTGATAAATATACTTATATATGTGGGGTATTTTTAATTCAATTTTACTTAGTACGATATTAGTAACATAGGAACGAAACACAGAGATGACAGTTAGTTTTTAAAAAGAAAAAGAAAGCGACAGTAGTCTTGTTTGAATTGTTACGTTGGTGGTCAATTTATTAATAAAGGAAAAATGCTTCTAACTTGTTTTTTCGAACTTTATATATTTCAAAATACATATATATTTTAGAAAAATGACACCCCGATAGAAGAATAAATGATCACGCTCATCACACAATTATAGGCTTTGAGTGGGAGTGGAACTCACGACCTCTGGCTTTTTTTCTGACGGGGTGGAAAATGCCTTCGGATCTCCTGCTCCTCGGGGACTCAGGAGCCAGGAGTATGTGGTGATTCCACTAAAAACCACTCCGATGGCCGGCCTCAGGTGCCCTACTCTGGGAGGACCTGGACCATGTTATTTCAGGTCCTCCCCGAATTGACACCATGCCTAATCAGGCCCTATCCCAGGGGAAAAAACACTTCCCCCTCAATCGCTTAGCTTCGCAACGCACTAGACCAACAGACCAGTCGAGTTAAAAGACAATGGCGATAAAAATTAAATAAGAATATTCCGTTAAGGAAAAGTAACTTGTGATAAATGCATTTAATAGCTTTGAAAACTCCGACTTGCTAACTAGACAATAACGTAACTTAGCCGCCACTTGAGAGCTAAACATGTGCGAGGGAATGAATCATATGCCTTTAAATAATTCACCCAGACTTAGTAACGTGCAGCGAACCACTACAAAAGGCCGACCTAAGTTTCATACTATGAATAGCATCAAAGCCGTTTCTCACAGTTCGAGGCATAAAATCAATACTTGCATCTATGTTAAGTGTTCAACTTTGAACTTTATTGTAGTCGGGATCATAAGTTTCATCTTAAAACGTTCCGAATATATCGATTTTGTACTTAATCAAGTTGCGTTAATGAAACTTAAAAAACATCTAGACTTGACTAGACTGCACGGATGGCGTAGTTGTTTAAGCGGTCGCCACGCCGCTTCTTATTGCGCCGAGTGTTGTGGCTTCAAAGCCCACATGGGGCAAGTCCTCATGTAAGCGTTTATATATAGTATATGTAAGCGTATAGCGTTTTTTTTTATGGAAAAGAGGGGGTTGCGGGGGGGGGGGGGTCAAACGAGCAGACGGACTTAATTTCGAGTGCATTCTCTCCCGTCCGTCTGGTGCCGAATTAAGCAAACGCAGTGTCGCCACCCCTATTCATCTATGCATCCCGTGGATGTGAGTTGACTAAGGGAGCAAACTACGCAGGATACCAGCACTGCAAAGAGATGGAAAACTCGGAGCCCTCTAACCGAAATACCATATATTTGTCGCATCAGTAACTTTATAGTACATTTAACCATCTATAGGTCGCAGGTTCGATTCCCGCTCAAGTCAAACATTGGTGTGCATGAACATTCAATGTTTGATTTGGTCTGGGAGTTTCTATGTACAATATTCACGAATTTACAAAAAAAAAGAAATATGTATTTATATCAGTTGTCTAGTACCCATAGTACAACTTCTGCTTAATTTGGGACTAGATGACGTTTTATGAATGTGGTAGAATATTATTATCTAAACATATAAAATTACATGCCATGGTTGACTGATTCATCAACGCAGAGCCTAAACCGCTGGGACCACATAATTGAAATTTTGGCAATTGATGCTTTTTATTTTGTAAGCGTGACCTAAGAAAGATTTTTTTGATTTTCATCCCTAAGGGGATAAAAATGGCGGTTAAAGGTTGCATGGAAGTTCATTTTCAAAGTTAGAAATACGAATAAAGAAATAGCTAGCTTGATAACAATTTTTAAATAATCTCACAATACTCTAACATTTATAAATTTTCTCAATAGATTGGAGAAATCTACAATACTGTCGAGGCTCATGAAAACCTCAGCGAGTGTCAAGAGGTCATCCTGGTGTTAGAGAACTATACACGAGATTTCAAAGCGCTGGCCGAGTGGTTTCGACTGAAATGGGAATACGACAATACGCCTCCCCCACAAAGGCCGCAAAGCCTAGCGTGGGAGATTAGAAAGACTGATTTCGTACGACCAGACTCACGTCGAGCTTACTCCGTTAAAAGTTCACCATCAGTATCAGGCAAAAATAGTCCTTGTCTGTCTGGACATAATACTCCAAGTGGCAAAAACAGCCCGAACCTTACTGGCAAAGCTAGTCCGGGCAGTGGAAAAATAAGCCCAAGGATTACCGGACATTCCAATACCAATAGCCCTAAAGCTAATATCGAGTTTTTCAGCAGCAAAATTGCTTCGAAGATCACTGCTAAGCCCGAGCCTAAGTCCGTTTTAGAGTTATTAAGGCTGTCGGATATTAAAGAAAAGGAAGGCAATAACATTAGAGAAGAGGTTGATGTCTCTCTCAACAACAAAATCAACCATGACCCAGTTGAAGAAAAAGAACAGCCTACAAATGATCCTGTAGTCGAATTAGGTAAAGCAAAAGAATATCAAAACACTTGCCCTAAATTGGTCGTTATTAAGTCACCTAAACGCACAGTATTAGCTAAAGAAGGCACTAAGACATCATCCACATCTGGTGACGATATTTCTAGCCAAGCAAAAGCAACAATCGCTAAATTAGATGCAATGGAAAATGAATTTTTAGCTAAACATCTGACTGAAAACTTTGCAAAAAATGATAATCAATTAAATCTGGATAAAGAAAATGAGAGTGTTCTTATGACTGCAAGTGTAACTAACAAAGAGGCTAATCTACCAGAGAAGACCTCCACAGACGATAAAGCAAGCACAACAACAGAATCACCTGTCAAATCTGAAGACAATTTCGCAGATGTATCTAATGAAAGCTCTTGCAAAACTCCCGATAGTGATGAAAAACTTTTATCACAAGAAGAAAAAGTAAATGAAGAAAATAAAATTGACACTGAAGTAGATTCCTCAGTATTAAAAGAAATAAATATGGACCAAGATTCTAAAGTTATAGAATCAAGTGATGAAATGAAAGTTTCGCTAAATAACCCGTCAGTTGAAATTATCCAAGATTCTAATGACAGGGAGCAAATAAAAGATAACGCACAAACTGATGTAAAAGATGTAAAAAAAGATGCAAAAACAGTAATCGAAAAGCTGCCAACTAGACCGGCTTATTCTCAAGCGGCGGCTAAACCAAAGCCTGTTACCACGCCTAAACCAGAAGCAAAAAATCAAACCCGACTCATAACTAGAAGCAAAACAGTCATAGAAATTCGTCCAAGTACATCTCAGAAAACTCTTAATCGCAATGAGCCTAGGAATAGAAATCAAACAAACAAATGCAGCTATCCTTTTAACCTAACAACAGGTCGTACTAGTCTATTTGATGCTCCTAATAAGACAAATCTGTCCAAAAGACCAATTAATAGAATGCCACAGTCAGGATCTGGAGATAATAAAAGTGCTCTTAAACTTGAAACTCGTGTCAGGAAAAGACCACCTAGACCTACAAGTTTAAAAATTAATGAGAAAGGCGATAAGAAAGAAAATAACATTGCTTTAGAAAATATTAAGGACTGTGATGAATATGGCAGCTCTGAAACTATTATACCTCAAAGGGATGTATCTAGGATAGAATCAAGTGAGAGTCTTAAAACGTTAGTCCCAGATGATGTCGGCAATTCTATCGAAGTACTTAACGTTGAAAAAATTAAGAGCGATGACGATGGCTGGCTTACAGTAAAATCGAGGCGTTTAAGTCGCGAATCGAAGAAGCAATTGAAGTCACATTGGAGTAACAGATTTCACCAACCTTCGGCAACTACTAGTCTACCAACCTTAAATATGATTGAGTCTCCAAAACAAGAAGCAAAGGAGATAGTTTCTAGCAAAAAATTCGATCGTGCGAAATCTGAACAACCTGAAAACATGTCGCCTTTAAAGCAATGCAATCTTCAAAATAAAATTCAAACAACTAAAGAAGAACCCAAGATAAACGATGCTCCAAAACCAGACATTGTTGTGATTAAGCCTTTTGATAACACACAAGACGTACCAAAAATAAAAGACTCTTTTAAGTCAGACGAGTCTACTAAATCTAATGAGGTATTAAAATCGAAAGACGAAGCAAAAGGAACCAAAAAAGATCTAGCCATGATCCGCCAAAAGTCAGATGTGACTGGTCTGAAAACAAGATCATCGCGAACCAGAGCGTTGAAGAAAGACAAAATCAAAGATACTCCAAAAAGCAATGGTTCAGAGCTAACTAAGAATCGCCTACATTCCTCTTTAGAAAGTTTGACTACTGGGTTAGCTCGTTCTCAGGAAAGCACCCGAGAAATTTTCGATTTCGACAAATGGAAGGCAGAGTTCAAAACCACATTCAAATTTCTCGATGACGACGACCAAATGCCAAATCACAATGAAATATTAAAAACAGCGGATCCTTCGGAGATGTCGGAAATAGCGGAGATGACGTCACTCATAGAGGAGAACGAAAGGAAAATCAGTTGGGCGTTAGATTTTCAATCGGAAGTGGACCAACAGAAACTGTGCGAGGAAGAGGATCTGTTGAATAGACAGATCATGGAACTTCAGCAGGTTTCCGATATTGATTTGGATACTGAGACTGATGATACTGAGGTAAGAATCAAAACCATTGCTTATCCTGACTTTTTTTAATAGTTTAAAAAGTAACGTAATGTAAAATAAACGAAAAAATTTAATTTAAATTCGTAGTCAAGGTTGGTCTCATTTAAATTTATAGAAAAAAACCCGTTTTCAACAACCTATCTCCAGTTAAGGACAGACCGCTACGGCGAAGTCGGTGTTACTTTTTTATAAATTTATATAATTATAATCCGTGTGGTGACGGATTAAGAATACGGAGTGTCATCACCCCTATTCATCCCGTGGGTGTCGTAAGAGCCGACTAAGGGAGCAAACTACGCAGGATAACAGCACTGCAAAGAGGAGGAAATCTTAAAACCAACCCTATTCCAACCCGTTTCGCCAACGTGGTATGGTAGGCCAAAACCTCCTTTCTAAGGAGAGGCCTATGTCCAGCAGTGGACTATTAGAGGCTGTTAATGATGATGATATAATTATACTCGACGTTTCGGACGAATGGTGCGGTCATAGGAATAGATGGACATCTGTTACGATACAATGGTACTTTATAAGTTTTACAATTTTCGATGTGCTCCATAATAAATTCAAATAACAAATACCGACCGATACATTCATTAATTATCCATCTATAGGTGTTGAATATTATTGCCAAAAGAAAAAATTATCACTTAAATCCAGCCATTTTAAAAATCGGTTCAAAATAGCTGTTATGCTTCCAGACTGATGCCGAAATACTATGTGAAGATACTTCTGCTTGTATAAATCAATCCACGGAGAACCTGGCCTCTTTGACGGCTAGTCTCGAAGATCAGTACGAAACAGCTCTGGCTGGTATGTCGTGGGCAGAGAGGGTCGACACTCTCGGGGCGCTTGAAGCTTTGGTGGCCAGAGATCCAGGTATATTTATTTTAATTTTGACTTTCTAGTTATGAAAAAAAAGACATTTGTTTTTGTACGAGATTATTTCATATTTAATATATATAATAAAGACGAGGATTTAATATGCTTCATTGTTTGTTTGTATGTTTTGTTTGTTCAAAATATACTAATCTTTAAAACCACTAATTAAATTCTAAATATTTTATGGACGATACTCTTGAATATACTTAACAATGGAGAAAGAAAAAATGCATTAATTGCGAGGGAATACACTTTGAAAGACAATAAATGTATCGTAACTCCTATATCTAGTTTTATTTATCAGAATCCAGAAACTTTCAGTATGCCCTTAGTAGTAGGACTGGACTGCACGAATGGCGTAGTGGATTAAGCGGTGCCTCGACGCTTCCTAATTCGCTGAGTTTTGTGGTACAACACTTTGTGTGATCCACAAATTGTCTGTCTATCCAGTGTCTGGATGTTTTTTGTCTGTTTCATGAATGTGTGTAAAGTCCCCCGCGACACAGGATATATTCCTAGTACAGGAGTTGTCTTAAAAAATATATCTAACGGGTCTGTATGACAAGTGGTGTTCAGTTTAAGCGGCGGTAGCCTAGTGGTTAAGGCGTTGGACTTGCGATCATTAGGTCTTGGGTTCAAATCCTGACCAGTACACTACTAACTTAGGGTTAACGGGAATACTAGTAATTTCGGTTTTAAGTTATTCAGTTTCATAATGCTAATGTATTTTACATATTCTACATCTAGGTCGAGCCCAACAGTTACACGCTAAGCTGTCACAAGGCATCAAGCGTCGAGGCAGCTTGCAGGATGCCTTGAGACGACTCCAAGCGAAACAAGCGAGAGCAGAACGACAGAGGAATGAGTACCAGACTGAAAGAGCGAGGAAGATCCACCAGCTTTTGGCTAAAGTTGAAGAAGTTAAGGTTTGTCGCCTGTGACGACGTTGTGTTGCTTTCTTATATCCTCGATCCTGTGTCCTCGAAGAGTTTGGCAGAGGAGTACTATTCTAACGTGGGGAGGAGGGAGCTAGGGGAAAATTTGAAATATAGTCGTGAAGTATAGTATATTGTTGAATATCGAAGAGATGAGAAATAGTCTATTGCCGAAAACTCGGAGCTACTGATAAATGAACCCTTGTTTCAAAAATACATAAGTTCTAATAGAGAAAAATCATCAACAGCCTCAAAGAGTCAAAGAAGAAAAGAGAGAAGAGGAAAATAGAGAGTTATTTCATGAACTCTATGGAATTATAAAAAGAGATAAGTTTTGTTTTTTTTTCAGGTAGCTAAAAACCAATTGATCGAAGAGAAACGGTTGAGGATGGAGCGCCGACTTCAAAAGGCAGCTGAGAACAGGGATCAACATTTAAAGGTACCCTAATTTATGAAGATACGATCAACTTTGAAGTATTATTTTGGGGTGTACTAATAAACGGAAAACTTATTAAAAACCCTATAAAGACGTTACTCTAGCATGCATTTACAATAAAGGAAAAACGTTAAAAAGTTTTCTCTGTTTTAATTTACAGAAAATTTGTGGTATTATCAGTTCCGTTTCTCATAAAAGTAGATGGAACGTGTTACGTACTCGTAAAAGATTTCAAATCTAACCTATGTTTATATTTTGGAATTATTCAACCCATTGTTAAGAAAAACCATAAAAACTAAGTTAAAAAATTATGCATTGTTTTTGTAATTGATTTTTATTTATTGCCATACTAGCTGACCCGCGCAACTTCGTCTGCGTCTCTCAATAGTAATAAATTTTCTCCGTTTTTGAAACATTCTTCATTGGTGCTCCGCTCCTATTGGTCTTAGCGTGATGATATATAGCCTATAGCCTTCCTCGATAAATGGGCTATCTAACACTGAAAGAATTTTTCAAATCGGACCAGTAGTTCCTGAGATTAGCGCGTTCAAACAAACAAACAAACAAACTCTTCAGCTTTATAATATTAGTATAGATTACTTAGTTCCAAAACGCTACAGAAACAGGAGTAATTTCTTATCGAATTGTGTTATTTCCATAGGATATAGTCCGCAAAGCTCATGACGAGGAAGAGAAACTTCGTGAAATAGCATTTATCAAGCAACTAGAAGCGGAGAACAGAAGACACGAGTTCCTCGATCAGTGCCGCTCTCACACCACGCGCCTTCGTCTCATGAGGAGGGACAGACTGTCCAAATTGGTGAGTAACTCATCAGGTTAACTAAATCAGCATTATTTATTAGTCTTGAAGTAGCACTGGTTTTTTTTTTCTCACTCACGGCCGTCTGATCCCAAACTAGGCAGAGCCTGTACTATGGTAACGAGACCGCTGATAAACATACTTATATATTTTTAAATAGATACATATTATAGATAAATTACACCCAGACACAGAACAAATGACCGTGCTCATCACACAATATTTGTTCTGGGTGGGTTTCGAACCCACCACTTCCGGTTTAGCAGTCAGGGTCACTAACCACTAGACCAACAGACCCGCCCGATTAATTTCATATCCTCAGACAGCTTATGTATTTAAGCGTCATCTAGCGAGAATATGCTCAATTACTGATCCTAAATCGCGCAATCAAAGTTCTCGCGTTTTACAGTAGGCACTGCATATTACGGCAACCTGCTGCTCTTGGGCTTAAGGAAAATCATTTTCTAATTGCAATGTAGTAATTAAGAAATATAGAAAAGAAATAAAATATTTAGATATTATTGCCATTAACCAATATTATAGTTCTAGAGCCATTATCTCACAAGTAATTAAAACGATATAAGCCTACACAGTAGAATCTCAGTAAGACGTATCTTAATAAGACGCAAAACCTTTTTAACTCGAAAAACCTTTATAACTTGAAAAAGTGTTTTATTTATTTATTTATTTATTTAACTTAATGCATAAGTTGTACACAGGCGTACTTAATGCCCAAGGCATTCTCTGCCAGTCGACCTTCGGGTGATGTAAAAAAATGGTGCTGTTTATTCATGCGCCAAAACTTAACTTTCTAACTAAATAAGTTAAACTTCTGTGTCTAGAACATAGCACATTTTGGTGTTATGACATACTAATAAATCCATACATGCTTACATTCTAAATGAGATAGTGAGTTTGTTTGTTTGATTGTCAAGTTTGGACGCCTAAACCACTAAACCGATTTTAAAAATTCTTTCACTTTTTTTTCAAGGGTAGGGGGTAGACGAGCAGGTGGTTCACTTGATGGAAAGTGACCATTGCCGCCCATGAACGTTTGCAACTCAGTAGTCACAAACGTGTTTCAAGCCTTTTAGGAAGGAGTACGCTCTTTTCTTGAACGTTTGAAGGTCGTATCGGTCCGGAAATACTGCAGACGATAACCCGTTCCATAGCCTACTTTATACCGAGATGACTGACATATGAGTCGCAGGAAAAACTAGTATAATATACATGCGGAATTGCAAATTAAAAAAAAAATTGTCCCAGGAACAAAAAGCGGCGCGTGAAGCGGCTGTAGGCGCTCGCAGACAAGCGCTTGAAGCGGCGCGCAAGCTGCACGTCGAGACGCTCCTGGAGAAACGGAAGGAGAGGGATGCCAGGGTCGAGGAGCTCAAGGAGCTGAAGAAACAGGAGAGGGACGATGCTGCGAGGGAGAAGGTGATTTTGAAAAAAAAAAAACTGTTTGTTTTTTTATTCACAACACCCACCGTCCATGCTACAGTAGCATCTTAAATAATATTCAAATAAAAAAATATTCTACTACATTCACACAACGCCATCTAGTCTCAAACTAAGCAAAGCTTGTATTATGGCTACTAGACAACTGATATAAATACATATATCTTTTTTTTTTGTAAATACTTACTTATTTATACCTAGAAACATCCAGATCAAATCAAACATTAAATGTTCATGCACACAAATGTTTGACTTGAGCGGGAATCGAACCTGCGACCTTTGGAATAGCAGTCCGTTACACAAACCGCTACGCCATTCGGTCGTCAAAATTTCTTCGATTAAGTTCACTCTCTTCTTGTTTCGGTCTAGAATATAATATTTATTCATTTATTTATACATCATGCACTATTGACAGACTTAATGCCTAAGACACATTTCCTACCGACCGTTGAGTCATCAACAGTCTTTAATAGTCCACCGCTGGACATAATAAGCCTCTCCTTAGAAAGGAGGTTGAGTGCTGCACATAAAACAGCGAGTAGGTGTATTTCGGTTTGATTCGACTATAACATTCTTCTATTCTCTAATTCTTTTAGATTGACGTTGACAATTATGAGATGTTTGAACAGATCGAATATACCATAAATATGTGTGGTTGTGCAGGCGGAAGGCGTGAAGTCCCGCCTGTCGGCGCTGGCGGCGGCGGCCGAGCTGGAGGCGCACGCGCTGCGCTCGCGCATCCGACACAAGCAGGACGCGAGCCAGCAGCGCCTCGACAAGCACCTGCAGGCCATACGCGAGAAGGCCACCGGGCCCAGGCAGCCGGTAACTATACCTACACTATACTGCGCTCGCGCATCCGACACGAGCAGGACGCGAGCCAGCAGCGCCTCGACAAGCACCTGCAGGCCATACGCGAGAAGGCCACCGGGCCCAGGCAGCCGGTAACTATACCTACACTATACTGCGCTCGCGCATCCGACACGAGCAGGACGCGAGCCAGCAGCGCCTCGACAAGCACCTGCAGGCCATACGCGAGAAGGCCACCGGGCCCAGGCAGCCGGTAACTATACCTACACTATACTGCGCTCGCGCATCCGACACGAGCAGGACGCGAGCCAGCAGCGCCTCGACAAGCACCTGCAGGCCATACGCGAGAAGGCCACCGGGCCCAGGCAGCCGGTAACTATACCTACACTATACTGCGCTCGCGCATCCGACACGAGCAGGACGCGAGCCAGCAGCGCCTCGACAAGCACCTGCAGGCCATACGCGAGAAGGCCACCGGGCCCAGGCAGCCGGTAACTATACCTACACTATACTGCGCTCGCGCATCCGACACAAGCAGGACGCGAGCCAGCAGCGCCTCGACAAGCACCTGCAGGCCATACGCGAGAAGGCCACCGGGCCCAGGCAGCCGGTAACTATACCTACACTATACTGCGCTCGCGCATCCGACACAAGCAGGACGCGAGCCAGCAGCGCCTCGACAAGCACCTGCAGGCCATACGCGAGAAGGCCACCGGGCCCAGGCAGCCGGTAACTATACCTACACTATACTGCGCTCGCGCATCCGACACAAGCAGGACGCGAGCCAGCAGCGCCTCGACAAGCACCTGCAGGCCATACGCGAGAAGGCCACCGGGCCCAGGCAGCCGGTAACTATACCTACACTATACTGCGCTCGCGCATCCGACACGAGCAGGACGCGAGCCAGCAGCGCCTCGACAAGCACCTGCAGGCCATACGCGAGAAGGCCACCGGGCCCAGGCAGCCGGTAACTATACCTACACTATACTGCGCTCGCGCATCCGACACAAGCAGGACGCGAGCCAGCAGCGCCTCGACAAGCACCTGCAGGCCATACGCGAGAAGGCCACCGGGCCCAGGCAGCCGGTAACTATACCTACACTATACTGCGCTCGCGCATCCGACACAAGCAGGACGCGAGCCAGCAGCGCCTCGACAAGCACCTGCAGGCCATACGCGAGAAGGCCACCGGGCCCAGGCAGCCGGTAACTATACCTACACTATACTGCGCTCGCGCATCCGACACGAGCAGGACGCGAGCCAGCAGCGCCTCGACAAGCACCTGCAGGCCATACGCGAGAAGGCCACCGGGCCCAGGCAGCCGGTAACTATACCTACACTATACTGCGCTCGCGCATCCGACACAAGCAGGACGCGAGCCAGCAGCGCCTCGACAAGCACCTGCAGGCCATACGCGAGAAGGCCACCGGGCCCAGGCAGCCGGTAACTATACCTACACTATACTGCGCTCGCGCATCCGACACAAGCAGGACGCGAGCCAGCAGCGCCTCGACAAGCACCTGCAGGCCATACGCGAGAAGGCCACCGGGCCCAGGCAGCCGGTAACTATACCTACACTATACTGCGCTCGCGCATCCGACACAAGCAGGACGCGAGCCAGCAGCGCCTCGACAAGCACCTGCAGGCCATACGCGAGAAGGCCACCGGGCCCAGGCAGCCGGTAACTATACCTACACTATACTGCGCTCGCGCATCCGACACAAGCAGGACGCGAGCCAGCAGCGCCTCGACAAGCACCTGCAGGCCATACGCGAGAAGGCCACCGGGCCCAGGCAGCCGGTAACTATACCTACACTATACTGCGCTCGCGCATCCGACACAAGCAGGACGCGAGCCAGCAGCGCCTCGACAAGCACCTGCAGGCCATACGCGAGAAGGCCACCGGGCCCAGGCAGCCGGTAACTATACCTACACTATACTGCGCTCGCGCATCCGACACAAGCAGGACGCGAGCCAGCAGCGCCTCGACAAGCACCTGCAGGCCATACGCGAGAAGGCCACCGGGCCCAGGCAGCCGGTAACTATACCTACACTATACTGCGCTCGCGCATCCGACACAAGCAGGACGCGAGCCAGCAGCGCCTCGACAAGCACCTGCAGGCCATACGCGAGAAGGCCACCGGGCCCAGGCAGCCGGTAACTATACCTACACTATACTGCGCTCGCGCATCCGACACAAGCAGGACGCGAGCCAGCAGCGCCTCGACAAGCACCTGCAGGCCATACGCGAGAAGGCCACCGGGCCCAGGCAGCCGGTAACTATACCTACACTATACTGCGCTCGCGCATCCGACACAAGCAGGACGCGAGCCAGCAGCGCCTCGACAAGCACCTGCAGGCCATACGCGAGAAGGCCACCGGGCCCAGGCAGCCGGTAACTATACCTACACTATACTGCGCTCGCGCATCCGACACAAGCAGGACGCGAGCCAGCAGCGCCTCGACAAGCACCTGCAGGCCATACGCGAGAAGGCCACCGGGCCCAGGCAGCCGGTAACTATACCTACACTATACTGCGCTCGCGCATCCGACACAAGCAGGACGCGAGCCAGCAGCGCCTCGACAAGCACCTGCAGGCCATACGCGAGAAGGCCACCGGGCCCAGGCAGCCGGTAACTATACCTACACTATACTGCGCTCGCGCATCCGACACAAGCAGGACGCGAGCCAGCAGCGCCTCGACAAGCACCTGCAGGCCATACGCGAGAAGGCCACCGGGCCCAGGCAGCCGGTAACTATACCTACACTATACTGCGCTCGCGCATCCGACACAAGCAGGACGCGAGCCAGCAGCGCCTCGACAAGCACCTGCAGGCCATACGCGAGAAGGCCACCGGGCCCAGGCAGCCGGTAACTATACCTACACTATACTGCGCTCGCGCATCCGACACAAGCAGGACGCGAGCCAGCAGCGCCTCGACAAGCACCTGCAGGCCATACGCGAGAAGGCCACCGGGCCCAGGCAGCCGGTAACTATACCTACACTATACTGCGCTCGCGCATCCGACACAAGCAGGACGCGAGCCAGCAGCGCCTCGACAAGCACCTGCAGGCCATACGCGAGAAGGCCACCGGGCCCAGGCAGCCGGTAACTATACCTACACTATACTGCGCTCGCGCATCCGACACAAGCAGGACGCGAGCCAGCAGCGCCTCGACAAGCACCTGCAGGCCATACGCGAGAAGGCCACCGGGCCCAGGCAGCCGGTAACTATACCTACACTATACTGCGCTCGCGCATCCGACACAAGCAGGACGCGAGCCAGCAGCGCCTCGACAAGCACCTGCAGGCCATACGCGAGAAGGCCACCGGGCCCAGGCAGCCGGTAACTATACCTACACTATACTGCGCTCGCGCATCCGACACAAGCAGGACGCGAGCCAGCAGCGCCTCGACAAGCACCTGCAGGCCATACGCGAGAAGGCCACCGGGCCCAGGCAGCCGGTAACTATACCTACACTATACTGCGCTCGCGCATCCGACACAAGCAGGACGCGAGCCAGCAGCGCCTCGACAAGCACCTGCAGGCCATACGCGAGAAGGCCACCGGGCCCAGGCAGCCGGTAACTATACCTACACTATACTGCGCTCGCGCATCCGACACAAGCAGGACGCGAGCCAGCAGCGCCTCGACAAGCACCTGCAGGCCATACGCGAGAAGGCCACCGGGCCCAGGCAGCCGGTAACTATACCTACACCATATTGTACCACTAATATGTCTTCACAATGGAATCTTTTTTTTTCTGAATGCTGCTGGTTTGTTATTACGCTCTTCCTAAACCTCTCAAAATCAGAAGATATTACAGTATTTACCCCCTAGTTACCTTTCGAATCATAGAACGGACTTACGGGCACACGACCGATCAGGTTCCAAGATTTCGTACGAAACGTTAATTTCTTGGAACCTGATCGGTCAGGAGGCGGGGCTCGATCGTTGCATCACTATTTTCTTAAAGCGAATAGACTATAGTTACTGTAATCTGAGTCCTGTTTCTTCTGAGACTTGCGATATGCCTTAGCCTACTTCTATTTGATGAATTGTAATCGTTTACACCGACTAATTTTTTTATGGTGACCAGCCATAAAAAAAAAAACAGCAAAAATTGTTTGGAATGTTTAACCCAAATAAAATGAACAAGAAAACAGGTATTAGATTCTCACTCAAGAAGAAGTTTCGTTAGTAACCGGACCATTATTAACCAAATTTCATCCACCGGTATTAATAACTAATTAATATTTGCCACAGACCACATCCGAGAGTCAAGAGAAAGAGTTGGAAGAGGAGGCAGCGAGATTGGAACAGGAGAGGAAAGACAGGGAGAAACAGAAAGCTATAAAAAAGAGAGCTAGAAAAATTAAACAAAAGCTGTTATCTACGTAAGTGTTTTAGCTAAAGGCAATTATTTCAGGTTTTAAAAACATAATAACGTTAGTTTGTATAAATTAAGAGAGATATCAAGGCGTTAAGCAATTCTTTATACGGATTAAAAATACAGTGTCACCACCCCTATTCATCCCGTGGGTGTCGTAAGAGCCGACTAAGGGAGCAAACTACGCAGGACAACAGCTCTGCAAAGAGAAGGAAAACTTGACACAAACCCTACACCAATCCCTCTGGCCAGCGTGGTATAGTAGGCCAAAATCTCCAATGTAAGGAGAGGCCTATGTCTAGCAGTGGACTGTTAGAGGCTGTTGATGATGATTGATGAGGCAATTCTTTATTTTCACCGAGTAAGTGAGGTTACGTCGCCTTCTTCTGATTCTGATGGGGGCAACAACATAACACACTCTCAGATGTCCGCGGGCGGCGGTAGTAACTTACCACCGTGACCCCTCTTCTGGCTTGTTCCCTATCATTATCATCATCAACAGCTTTTACTGGTCCACTGCTGGACATAGGCCTCTCCTGAGAAAGAAGGTTGTTCATTATGCCATAAAAAAATCATGCAAACTTATCTTCTTAACTCAGATCAAATAAAAAAGTTAAAATGGTATTCTGTGAACAAAAACTACGCCTTGGCGTGTACATACACAATAACACGCACACACGCACAAGGAAACTACGCCTTGTCAGTCAAATCATCATCAAAAATGACAACAATATTTACTAGGAAAAATATTTATTTAATCTGAGGATCTGAACATTATACTCTTTGGTTTCCTTGGTGGTCCTTACAAATACTACACGGATAGCGACAACGCTTTTTAGGTTAAAGCGGTCGCCACCCCATGCTGAGTGTTGTGAGTTCCATCCCCACATGGGACAACACTTTGTGTCATCCACTAATTATTGTTCTAAGTCTGGGTGTTCTTTGTATCAGTTTCATGTATGTTAGCAAAGTTCCCCTCGTCACAAGATATATTCCTAGTGCTCAAGTTGCGCTATAAAAAAACTTTTATTTCCAGGGGCTGCGAAAAAATCCTACTTGACGATTCGATTTTAGACCTAAACACGCCCTACTCATCGAGAACCATCAAAGTGATCAATCAATTAAAACATTTAATCACGCCCCTACTTAACTCTACCGAACACGAAAGCAATAGAAACGGCGTCGAGTTCGATGAACCCGAGAAGAAGAAAAACAATAAAAAAAACAAAAAGATCGTCAACGGAGACGTTGAAAAGAAACCAGAGTCGAACAACAACAATAAAGAAGTGGAAAAGAATCAAGAAGAGATGAAATCTGACAACAAAAAGAGGAAAAAGAAGAATAATTGCAACGACAAAGGCGATAAACCGAGGTTGAGCAAAAGTGGGTCGGTGTGTTCTTCTCTCAGTGATATGAGTAGGGGGAGTGGGAAGGGAGAGAAATCGAGGACTGTTATTGACATACAGTATTTAGAGAGACAGTTGAATGAATTGCACAGGATTATTGACAAATCTGATAAGGTTAGTAGTCTAGGGAATTTAGTAGACATTTTGTTTAAATCAAAAGATTTTCGAGTCTTTTTCCCAGACTGTCAAGAAAGGTTAGTTTTTTTTGCACGTATCTTGTATGTTTGTTTGTATATTCATTTATTATTTCGTATATTCCAAATGGCTAGATGGATATAGACAGAAAAGGTATCGTTTTATACGTCTCAAAAACCCCAGTGTCCTTAGATGGCTTTTTGAAAGAAAAAAAAATGGCGGATTTTTGGCTCAAATTAGTAATCTTTAAATATATGATTCTTCTGTACGTGTCTATATAAATGAACTCCTAAACGGTTGGATCGATTTTGATGAAATTGTGTGTGTGTGTGTGTGTTTGGATTCCAGAATAGTTTAGATTCAGAATTCGGTTCATTTAAAGAAAATGTGGTCAGGGAGTAGGTGAATAAAAATTAAATAACCAAACCTATCGAGTTGGGTACCAAAATCAAGAAAATTAAAAGAGTATTATAAAAATATATACAGGGTTACTGGTTACTGGCCATCATTTCTAATAGATTTCATTACGAAAGACCATATCCCAAACCGAAACATTTTCAAGATATTTTACTTTTAAGATTTTTTCATAAAAATTGCAGAAATTTTGCCTAATTACTTAAAATATTTTAAGAACTTACATTTAATTAAGTGTGTGAAATCTATCAGTATATAAGTCATATATTTAAATTTAACAAGTATTAATAAATTGTTTGTATAAAGTTTTTGATATCGTAAAAATGGGCCAATTTTCGTCCGACCTTGTTCTGTTACTGTCTTTTTAGTGCATTACTTTTAAATTGTCCACAGACTGCAATTGACAAATCTTCAGTGCAGAAGGTTCACGGTGTGAAGGTCCTCGGCCAGTTCATTGCTGTGGCTGCCGAGAGAGAAGACCTCGCTTCACAAATAACTGTCAGGTATGTGACTGGCATTCGAATGAACAATGGGTCTGATTCTTAAATAAGTTTTACGAAGAGTTGGGGTCGTATTTTAAGCTGTTGTGAAACTAATGTCGTTCAGATACCACTTTATTACTCTCCTTGGTAGTAAATTGTGTTAGTATTCTCACACACGGCTGTCTGATCCCAAACTAGACGAACCTGGTACTATGGTAACCAGACTGCTGATAAAGATACTTATATATTTCTAAATACATACATATTATAGATAAATTACACCCAGACACAGAACAAATGACCGTGCTCATCACACAAATATTTGTTATGGGTGGGAATCGAACCCACGACCTTCGGTTTAGCAGTCAGGGTCACTAACCACTAGACCAACAGGCCTGTCAAATTATAGTGTAATATTAATCGTGTGTGAGCTAATATCTACACACATATTGAAACGGAGATTTAGCTGACTAATAAAATATTAAGTAAATAAGGAAATTATTGGGGTCGCTGTTAATAGGGTGAAATACATAGTTGTAACAAAACAAAACTAATAATAATGATCTAACATAAGCCATGCCACAAATGGGCCTGCTCTACCATCAGGTGACCCAGGTGATCTGCTCCTTTGCTCCCCTCATTTCATAAATATCCACCCTCCATAAAATTCTTTCTTCTTCTTTAATATGACACCTATTTGAGCATCTAAGCAAGGGATTCCCAAAGTGGTCGATATCAACCTCAAAGGGTCGACATAAACAAACTGATTTTGGAGGTCGATAAGGTATAAAAATCGACTCGAATAAATTAATACAAATTCTTATTTGAAACTTTCAAGATTCTGTATTAGTTGTAGGGTATTAATGTTTTTTAATATTTAGTAATGTTACGTGTTATGTACGTATAGTTACACTTGAAATTTACTGAATTATTGTCTATTTATTTTGTTAAATCTTGATGAGAAAATGAGTTTACTAACTTAAATCAACCGTTTTTTTTTAAAATTGGTAATTATTTAGTATTAATAGGAAAAAAACTAGAGGCATTATTTTTAATTTGGCTATGGGATCTGCGGTTTCAGTTCATTTTGGAAAAGCCCAAGATAGCTTGGGAATCCCCTATTGCAAAATAATTTGGTATGGGGGTCTGCGGTTTCAGTTCATTTTGGAAAAGCGATAGTTTGGGCTTCCACTATCTAAGCATCGCTACCTAATTTCTTACCTGACCTTAAAGAATAAGTAACTCCCTCCCTCGAGGGTAGGCAGCCATATAGTGACGTGTGTGATGTGTGTCAGGTCGGTGACGACGAGCGTGGTGATCGTGTCGCGGTCGATGGCCACGTGCGCGATGAGCGCCGCCTACTTCCTCAGCTCCAACACCTGCGTGCACGTCGTCAAGCTGCTCAGCAACCAGCTCGTGAGTACACAACGCTCTCTTGGGCCTTACATGCCAACGCGCGCTTTAGATGAAAAAAAAAACAATATTTTGCACCAACTTACCGAAAAACACATTACATAGTCAAACACATGTCAACATCATTGCACTGAATGGCTGGATTTATAGGTTTCTAGATGATATAAAAAAAATTAATGTATTTATTCAATTAAATTTTTCTCCCATATTTATATATATTAGTATGTGTTATTTATTTCAGTTATTTATTATATTTCATATTTTACATCTATTCACCCATCTTTTCAAGGTTTACCAATCAGTTTTAATATTATGTATTGTTGTTAGCATATTCATCCACTCTATGTATCTACCGTGGATAACTTTTATTGGCTACTCATGTAATCATAGTTTACTACCTAGTTAAGAATTGCAGCTGTTGTTATCCCTAAAAAAATAAATAAATAAATAAATAGACGTAAACCTAAATAGATATTTAACTTATTATAATATAGTTCATGCGAAGCTGGTGGTTCGCTAGTTAAGCAAAAAATCATTTTGAATTCATGCATTCATCAGAAAAATTGATAACAGCGCCACCTGTGTGTTAAATAGTTAAATACATCAATCGACATGATAAATGTTGATGTCATGTGTACTGTTATATTTAAACATTTAGACAATCTGTCAATAGATGGTGCTACTCGTAGTCTTAAACGAGATTTGTACTCTCCACATATACTGTGCACTATCTGGCAGTAGATGTCGCCACATGTATCACAATTTAGCTTTGAACTGAAAACAAACTTATATTCCTTTAATTTATACATCAAATCCTCATAAAGTTTAATCAATTGACTTATACCTCGTATTGCAATTCATTTCTGAAATAACGTATCCCTCCATTTTCATATAACTTGTTACCTTATTCATAAATATCTTTATAATAAAATACCTTCTAAGTAATTTCCTCTTCCCTCGTCTCCCTAAAATATCTCTTAAACGAGATAACAAAAATTATTATCAGAGCACTTTCCAAATTACAAAAAAAAAGTTGGAACGGAGACAAAATGTAACCCTTCGTTTACCTAAAGGGGTATTTTTCTACCCTATTAATTTTGATGGGTTCCGAACGGTTGACGGATAGAAAAGTTTTCGCTTTGATTTATATAGTTTATGGCGGTAAATGTTTTAGTACCAAAAGTTTTGGGACTTGGAGAGGCCAATCTAATCTCGAGACGTGAGACGGCTTTAAATATACGACTAATGTTTAGAAACTTGACTTTTTGTGATAGGTTTTAACAAAATGACTGAATGCATCTTAAGAATAATTTAACAAGGCTGGATCGAAATTTAAGCCAGATTGTGGACTGTAAAGGGATAAAAAGGAAACGCTTTACTTATATTTACCGTGGGAGAGCCATGGGCCGGCTCGACCGGAGTGATACCACGTCATCACAGAAAACCGGTGTTAAGCAATTCTTTCGTTTCCTTTCACTGAGTGAGTTACCGGGGCCTAAATCCCCCCTCCCGCTGACTCGAGCGGGAGGGACTCCAAGGGCAGCAACGCACTTGTGACTTTTGAGTTGCAGGTGTCCATGGGCGGCGGTAGTTGCTTACCATCAGATGACCCGTCTGCTCGTTTGCCCTCTTATACCATTAAAAAAACATTTATTCGTTGCTGAGTCCTTCGCATATATGTTCTGCAGGGAGGTATTTCTTCACTGACATTATCAGGTGCTCTGCGGTGCGATTGAATGATAACTGAACGATGAGTGATTGATACTATAAGCTCCTGCGACGGTGGCGGTGTTCAAGGGTTCAGGGAGAGGAAGGGAATGTGGATTTATACATGCATAATGTCAAATATCTGTCTTTTAAACGCGAAAACTCATAGGTATTTGTAAAATCTAAAACGGCGTAACCAATGACAATGGTTGGTTATTTCGCCCAGGAACGCTGACGCCATAAAAAACATAGATCACGTTAGTTACAGGACAATTTTAGTTGTCGGTAAGATCGAACTTTATGTTCAACTAGTTGTACCCTGCCACATTGTGGTTTCCGTGTGGTGACGGATTAAGAATACAGAGTGTCACTACCCCTATTCATCCCGTGGGTGTCGTAAGAGTCGACTAAGGGAGCGAACTACGCAGGACAACAGCACTGCAGAGAGAAGGAAAACTTGATACAAACCCTATACCAACCCGTCTGGCCAGCGTGGTATAGTAGGCCAAAACCTCCTTTCTAAGGAGAGGCCTATGTCCAGCAGTGGACTGTTAAAGGCCGTTGATGTGAAGATGTGATGATGTGTGATGTTTTGGTTGGATTGATGAGAAATGTCAGCCAAAACTGATGTAAAAAATAGAAAAAGACAATCTGAAAGTGTTGTTGTCCTTCGTAGTTTGCTCCCTTAGTCGGCTCTTACGACACTCACGGCATGAATAGGGGTGTTGACACTCCATATTCTTAATCCGTCACCACACGGATAGCTAATTAAGTACTATCTAATAATATTCTCACCAATTTATCTTCAAGGACATTGATAATACACGATTCGCTACATACATATGACCTATAAAGTAATAATTCTACTATACATAGTTGTGGTGTCGTGCCTATCCCCTTAAGGGAAACATCGTGATGTTGTTATATATATATTTCGGAATGGAACAGCTATAAATATAGAGGTAAGTAAAGTGCGGCGTTGGGGCCACACTGCGCCGCTAGACGAATGACGCGCGAGGCTTTAGGGTTGTCAAACACCTACTTTACAATATTTCTACACAACACAAAGGTTGACTGGTAGAGAATGCCCTGAGTATTGTACTGTAGCCCGCTGTTGTACAAAAGTGCATGAACTTGAATAAATAAATGAATTAAATATAATAGGCTTGTGTCCACTAATAACAAATTGCTTGGTTTATAGTTTCAAATTATAAATGAAGAGACATAGATAAGAAAAAACAGTCTATTTCTCATAAAAGTTGAAGATTATTAATATTAAAAAAAAATCGTACAAAATAGGCATTAAGTCACGTGGCAGCGAACACCATTCAGAAAGTGTTACGTTACGCCACGCAAAACATCATTGTTGTTGTTGACGTTTTCATACAACAGAGCAGGTTACTCCTTATTTCTTATTCATTTTTTGAAAACAGTTGACACTGGACACAGTAAACAGTTTTATCTCGCGGACTTACATCATTCAAGACGCCATGACACTATTCAGCGTTTTCGAAGGAAATTTAAATTGTTTTTTTTAAATACAAAATACGTAATGTAAATATTGCTTTTTCTTTAAAATTTAGGTTTTGTGGGATAAAATAGATATTAAAGAATATAATTAACCAAGTTTTCAAATTGAGTCAACTAGCCTATTCTTACCCATATTTACTTTCTAACTTTGGTTGGTGGCTGCAGTAATAGCCAAAATCTTTTGCAATATTACTATTGTATATAACTTATATTGCGTAGACTAGAAATATAAATTAGAATAGACAAGGATAATGTTGTTGTTGAGATGAAATTATTTGTAGTTTCTTAGAATCTTTAGATGCCCATTTTGTTGACAAATGTTGTGTGCAATATTTTATGAAAATAGGTTGAGTATTTAAGGCGTGAAAGCGTAAAAAACAAACGATTTTATTTAATAAACAAACAAACTCTCTTATAAATTTAATAGGATATCCAAATATTTTATTAAACTTGTACACAAAATAAATAAATTTGTTGAGTGACAACCCTGTGTGCTACTGTCGGTAGCTCGGTGAGTGGGTGGGCGCCCTAAAAGCGCCGCTAATGCATCCCGCGCGCTCGTTCACACTAGCTAACGCATTTGCTCTAGTGTTTGATACTTATACCAGTAGAGTGATATATTGTTATTGGTGATATTATGTTTGTTACCTCAAAGCTCCGTCATTTATGAACATGGCAAATTTATGTTTTATTTCGGGGTAAACTTCCCATTTCACATCACATCAAAAGTCTTTAGTAGTCCACTGCTGGACATAGGCCTCTGCTTAGAAAGGAGGTTTTTGGCCAACTGTAATACGCATGCCAGACTGGTTGGTATAGGGTTTGTGTTAAGATTTCCTTCTCTTTACAGTGCTGTTGTCCTGCGCAGTTTGCTCTCTTAGTCGGCTCTTACGTCTTCTATTCTCGTATTCTTAATCCGGCACCACACGGATTACCACTGGGATGGACCAAATGGGAAGTTGTTCCCATTTGGTCCAATTTAAATTTGAATGAGAAATACCACTCCTAAGGGTGAAAAATTAAGAAATCAAGGCATGTCTAGTGGTTACTGGTCCTGACTGCTAATCCAAAGGTCGTGGGTCCGATTCCCACACAGGAAAAATAATTGTGTGACGAGCACGATCATTTGTCTATAATGCAGTGTTATATATGTATATTATTATGTATGTATTTAGTAATATGTAAGTATGTATATCAGCAGTCTGGCTACCATAGCCTGGTACAGGCTCTTCCTAGTCTGGGATCAGACGGCCGTCTGTAAAGCTTATCAAGCTGTCTGTCCGTGTGTCAACTCAAATTTTCTCAGGAACGGGTGGACCTGGCAAGTTGAAATTTATACCAGGTACTGAGGTCTATAGTCCCTATTAGGTGTATAAAAATCAAGGTCCTGAGTCAACACGATAAAAATATATGGGCTTTAGATTTTCGCGAAGACTTCTAAATTCCAAAGTTTACCTTAATTTTTAACTTTATTTAATTTTTCGGAACTTTCCCTTTACTTGTGATGTAAGTACCTTGTACCTTGCTTTTAACCAAAATTGACAATTCCAGGTCAACTGAAAGTATTATAATTATTGCTTATGAGGTGTATCTGTGAAGTCATACCGGGTCAACGTGCTTCCGTAACTGAAGTGCAATAAACAAAGTCGCATATAATTTTAAAACTCTAAAGATTTTAATCTCGACCATTGGCTACCGTGTATTGAATATAAAACCGGCCATACTCGACACCGTAAGCTTTTATTGTTACAATAAAATAAAAATAT